AGTTTACAGTGTATAATAAGTCCTACATTTAAAAATAATTATACACTCTTTTGCCTTAATTTTGCAAATGCAGGAGCTTAAAAGGGAGTGAGGTATTAACATGTATTTTTACCATTTTAAATGGCAATCTATTTAATTTTAATCGTCTTTACTGACAGTAATATTTTAATAGACTGTCCAAGAATTGCCAATTTAAACTGAAAAGTATCTGCTGAGTACTAGCAGCCCACCAATCAATGAACTGCTCAATCAGTGTCCTAATGTAGCAAGAGCCACTAGAAGCCACTTAACTCCATTCGATTTTCACTTTCAAATGGAAAAATTAATGCTACTAGTTAAAAGAATGACTCAGTGTCACATAGTGTGCGACAGTTATTTAGTTGGAAATGTGCATCTGTCTGCATCATACCACTCAATACTTCTTTACCAACACTGGATGTCAAGTAAAGCTCAGATGCAAAAACAAAAAAAAAATCTGTTGGAAAGCTGTGCTAATTCAAGAATTCAAGATAAACAGATTTTAAGAGATTCGAGTTTATTTTAAAACCTAGAATTGGAACTGCTATGCAAATCTGAGTCGAGACAGGCAAGAAAAACTTAAGAAAACACATCTCTTTCAACCTAGGAAGTATCACTTGCTCTCATCACTAACTGAAGAAGAGTAGGATCCACTCTTTACAAGGGAAGATCAGTCTGTCCTTGCAGCGCACCTGAAGCAGTTCCAGCTACAGCAAATATCGTGTGCTCATGCTTAATTCAGGATGTGCTTGCTCCCTTCACCCTCACCATGGGCCCCAAATCCTAAACGTATTAATGAAAAACTCCCGTGTCCAATGCTAGAAAAGTAATTAAGAAGAAAGTTAACTTAATACATAGGTAGGGGCCAGAGTTGTGGTGCAGCGGGTTAAAGCCCTGGCCTGAAATGCCAGCATCCCATACGGGTACTGGTTTGAGTCCCGGCTGCTCCACTTCCGATCTAGCTCTCTACTATAACCTGGGAGAGCAGTAGAAGATGGCCCCTGCACCCACTTGGGAGACCCAGAAGAAGCTCCTGGCTCCTGGCTTCCGATCAGCGCAGCTCTGGCCATGGTGGCCATCTCGGGAGTGATCCAGCACATGGAAGACCTATCTGTCTCTACCTCTCTAACTCTTTCGAATAAATAAAATAAATATACATAAGTAAACTATTAAGTGTTCTTAACTACAGTTCAAATATTTTTCCCTTTCACAAAACTGTTGTTTTGTTTAGGAAAAAAGTCCATTTTTAAAATTTTTTGAACATCAATCCTCACCTTCATCTCTCTGTCCTTAGCCCTTTTTACTGCTCAATGGGCTTGTCTTTAAATGAATGTGCATGTTAAGTATGCCACATAATGAAGCCTGGTGATTGTACAAGGAAGAAAAAAATGTATTAAAGTAAAACACACATTACAATAAGCACCCCTTCCTTGTGAGGGATCTGTGCCAAGACATTCTACATGTATCTGAACCCCATTTGCTTTCCTATACAAATACACCTATACTAAAGTTGAAAGTGTAAATTAGGCACAGGAAGTGATTAACAATAACTAACAATAAAATAGGACAATTATAACAATAAAATTACAAATTGTTTATTTCTGGAATTTCCCATTTAATATTTTCAGATAATACGGTTCATTAAAATCATAGAAATTACAGATAAAGAGGGACTGCTGTAGGCTCAACTAAAAATGAACCATCAAGGTCTAAAGAAAACTCACTCTACCAACTGCTTAACTCATCTCCAAGTAGAACAGTGTTCAGAATGTTAATAAAGCAAGAAAAGTAAAGCAATACTCAGGCAGAAACATCAAAGTAATACTGAGAGAGAGCAATATCAAAGCTAGAAAACTCCTATCACCCTCATCACAATCACAGCCCAACACAAACCAAAACTTCATTAGATATGCACTTAACTAAGGTCATTTGCTCATGTCTACCTGCTTAGCAGAAACTAGAAAGCTAAGTATAGGCTCTCAGGCTAACCTGATACAAATGTATCTAATAGCACAAACAGTAACTTAAAGATTTATAGTCTAAATATGTACATTTAGTCTTCTTCTCAACATGTAACTTTTGCTATCTAATTATAATTTACCCACATAAAAATGATACTGTAACTGACACTAACAGCCAAATAAAAACCTGCAAGATAAATGTCTAATAATAAATACATAAAACATTATGAAAAATAAAGATAAAATTTAAAAGAATGAATGGCAGATTGTTTAATATATGTGGAAAAGGAAAATTAAAGCAATAATATATAAATATAAATAAAGGTACTTCTTTTTCGATCTTGTCTTAGTCAGCTTGGGCTGCCATTACAAAATACCACAGGTCAAGTAGCTTAAACAAGAAATTTATTTTCTCAGAGTTTTCACATGCAAACTAAAAGTCCTTGATGAAGGTGTCATCCAGTTCAGTTTCTGGTAAGCATTCTTCCTGGCTGGTAGACAGCTGCCTTCTCACTGGGTCCTCACATAATAGACATGGAAAGGGCAACACACTCTGACATTCTTTCTTCCAAGCACCCTAATCCTATGGCATCATGGTCCCAGGCTTCTGACTTCAACATTTGAATCTGGGAGTCACAAAAACATTAAATCTATAACATTCTACCCTTAGTCCTCCAAAATCATGTTCTTGCATGGCAAAACATGGAAATATTCAAACAGTTCATGGAAAATACATAAGAAAAAACTATACATGGATTTCAAATTTTTTTTCATATCAAAACAAACTAATATTTTAATTTTTTAATTCTACTTCACCATGAACTTTCTGGAGTACCCACAAAAGTCTTAACTCATTCTAGCACTAATACTAGTCTATAAAGTCCAAAGTATCAATGAAATATCACCTAAATTCAGTACATGTGATCCCAGAGGTACAATTCATCCTAGGGCAAAAACACCTCTCCAGCTATTTACTACAGCAACTACAAACAATTTCTGTTTTATCAAAACGTGATGGCATAGGCAACAGTATAGATAATTCCCATTCTAGAAGCAAGAAATAAGAAGGGAATGGGTGACAAGTGCCAAGCAAGTCCAAAAGTTATTAAGGCAAATTCCCTTTGAGCTTAAAGTGTGGGAATAAGCCTCTTTGGACCAATGCTCTGTCTTCCAAACCCACTGGGTGGAATAATTAACCTCACCAGCTGGCTGGACAGCACCATCCCAAGGCTCTGGTCTATGATATTCTGGCCCCTAGGAAACAAACAAGCCCCATCCTTTGAAACTGAACAGGAGCCAATCCTGCCCCCAGCGGTGGGAGTGGCGCCCTGTTGTCTGAATCTTCTTCCTGGTCCTTATTTCCTTGTCTTGAAGGATGAAACATATTTATAGCCAAATAGCTCTATTTTCCAGTGCTGTAAAATTCCAGCAATCTCACAGTCTTCCTTCATTTCAACCCATTTTCTATTTCCTCTAGTCCCAGAGCTGGTGGTATAACCCATCTCTACTCTTGGTTTCTGCTAAAGTAGCTGGTTAAATTCATGGTCTATACCTATACTAATCCCTTTATCAAATGGCTGATTAGCCATATCCTTAGAGTTCTCTTCAGAATAAGCTTTATCATTTTCTGCTATATGAATAGGTGAAAATTTTCCAAATCTTCAAGTTGTGATTCTTTTCAATTTCTTCAATTCCTTCAATTTCTCTCTCTTTTGAACTTTAAATAGGAAAAACCAAGTTACATCTTTAACATTTTCCTCTGAAATCTTCTCAGCTAAATAACCAAGTTCATTCCTTACAAGTCCTCTCTTTCACAAAACACCACAACACAGTTCATCTAAGCTCTTTGCCACTCTGTAACAAGAATGGACTTTCCTCCAGTTTCCATTTCCTACAGACACTACATCAGAACAATCTTTAACATCCACATTTCTATTAACATCCTCTTCATGATATAGGTACATCTGTTAAATAATAGGTTTCTACCCAGATCTCCTCTTTTCTTCCTAAGCCTTCAGTACCAACATCTTTCTTTCTTTTTTTTTTTTTTTTGTAATATTTATTTTATTTATTTAAAAGGCAGAATGAGTGGGTGGGGAGGTGGTCTTCCATCTACTCCCCAAACAGCTACAACGACCAAGGCTGGGCCAGGCTGAAACCACAAGCTTCTTCCAACGTCTCCCACATGAGAACAAGGGCCCAAGCACTTGGGCCATCTTCCACTGCTCTCTCAAGTGCATTAGCAGGGAGCCAGATTGGAACTGGAGCAGCAAGGACCCAAACCAGCACCTATATGGGATGACGGTGTAGCAGCTGGCAGTTTTATCTGCTATGACAACACTGGCCCTTACCAACACATTTCTTCCAACAATCCCTTCATGGTAATCTAAGACTTTTGTAGCATATGCTTCAAAATGCCTCCAACCTCTACCTATTACTTAGTTCCTAAGCCACTTCCCAATTTTTTGGTATTTCTTACATCAGCACCCCACTTCTGGTTCCAAAATCCACCTCAGTCAATTTGAGTTGCCATAACAAGTTACCATAGACTGGGTTACTTATAGACAACAGAAATTTATTTTCACATAATGCAGGAGGTTAGAAGTCCAAGATCGAGGTTCCTACCAATTGAGTTTCTCATGAGCTCTCTTCCTGGCTTGGAAATGGCCTCCCTTTCACTTTGTCCTCACATGATTAGGGGAGAAAGGGGAAGAAAAGTAGGAATTGAGAGGAAGAAGGGAGGAGACGGGAAGGAACAAGCTTCCCAGTACCTCTTATTAGGACACTAATCCCACTGGATCAGAACACATGCTCACGATCTTGTTTAACCTTAACTGCTGCCTTAAAGGCTCCATCTCCAAATACAGAAACACCGGGGATCAGTGTTTCAAAATATGAATTTATGACAGAACACAAACATTCAGTCTCTAATAGAAATAAATGTATTCTAAAATTTTCAAATATCCAGAACCCTACGAGCTTAGCCCATGTTGAGTTTTCAGGGTAATTAAATGTGCTTACACTAGGGTCGGCAATAGGCTGAGGTGTTGGCAGCTGTACCACATATCTCCAAATATGAGCAGTCTGATCTCCAGAAGCTGAAGAGAGAAATCAGAGGAAAATTACCCAATGTGCATACTATCCAAAAAACGCATTCCTTGTTATGGTCTGGCTAAGCAACATCAACAAGACTTTTCTAACTTAGTGATTATTTTGTAAAATGTACTGTAGTTAAATAGCTATTTCTAAAACTGCTTGATGCTACTAAGAATAGAGTAAATGTGCAAAATTAAGATGGTTATGTATAACAATATTTTCCCTTTCATTTCAGGCTAAAAATCGTGGCAGTCCAGAGAAAATTTACCAATAGTAAATTTCATTTTCTATCTAAATAAATGGAAACTATTATATTATAACTTACAACTACAATAGATTTTGCTATGTTTCAGGAGAGCAAACTCATTTCCATCCATTCAACATTGATAGAACCTTACAATTTGCCAGGCACCTATTAGTACTATTTATTTGTGCTGCCTGCTAGTTCCTCTCTGTTCACCAGCCCAAGTTTATGAAAAAAATGCCTTGACTCAGATATGAGAAGACAAAAGATAGCATGACAGGGCATAAAGCAGGGCCACAGGTATAACTCAGTGGTCCTGTCTTAGCCCTCACAAGAGTATTTTTACAGAGCTTCCCTAAAAAAGTCACTACATATTGATGGTAGTACACTTTTATGGCAGTTATGAATTTATTGCCCTGACTTGCCAATTTCGCTTTAAATCACCATCGATATCCAACAATCAGTCTAACCCTCCTCTACCTCTATTCTCCCCACTAGTTATCTACTTCAAAGTTCCTATCAGTTCCTTTTTTAAATGCTTCATGGTTTCAGCCCTCCCTTTCTACCCCTTTGGCTTGAATATAGACACGTCTAAATGCCATTAGTCTCTTTGCCTCTCCCCCATTCCAATCATAAAACAAACCATCAATTTAGTAAGACTTAAACTTCTTGCCTATTTTACTTCTCAAATATTTACTGAGATAGAAATTAGCTGCCACAGTGTAGGCCTGTTAAAATAACTCTCAGACTAACCTTCCCACCATATTCCTCTCATATATAAAAATTATCTGACTGAAAATTCTCTCACACATTGAAATTACTTGTGACTGGGCTCCTTGCTTAAACAATTCCACCTGCATGAAGCACTGGATCATCAACTTTTTCATGTGATCCTGAGATCGCCATAATCTGGTCTATGAGCCAATTCCAAGCAGCAACCCACTTTTGTAAATAAAGTTTACTAGAACACAGCTACATCCATTCATTTTTCATTGTCTCCATTCCTGTCATAGTGTAACAGCAGAACTGTGTGAGACAGAAACCATATGGCCCACAAAGATGAAAACATTAACTGTCTAATCTGTGCAGAGAAAGTCTGCTGACCTCTGGTCTATGCAAAGCCTACATATACCTTTCAATATTATCACCAGTATCCCCAAAACATCACAGAGCTATCCAGATATAACACTGTGGACATACACAGATGTATGACAATTTTATGGGGAAAACTCTCAGTATTATAAAGCTACCCTTCAGAAGTAACAAATGAAGGTCTTTTTTTTAAACCACAATATAAAATTATGACAAACCCAAGCCATTATTGCTTAGGCAAATTACCTGGAAAAGCAGGAAAATTCTGACTCTGGCAAATTATTCTACTTAAATATTATTTTTCTGATTTATTTCAGATGCAAATAAGATAAGGAAACACAGCAGTAATCAACTGTGTTATAATCCACTGTGAATCATCATGAGCAATAATAAAATGATTAAAAGATTTCAAGAACATGAATTTACTTTCATAATAAATGCAAGTTCCTTCATTATTGAATCTTAAAAAGTATTGCTTGCTACATTTTCTCTGTTCATTTCTCACCTAATTCATAAAATGCCTACAAAAGATTGCCTAATGTTTCCAAAGCCACAGATAATTCTGATGCTACTGATAAAGGAGTACTTATAGTTGTTTTAAAATTATCAATAATTTTGTTCAGTAAAGAAAAAAGTCAACATACCAGTGAGAGCCAACTGCTCTGAGGGATGAAATTTTATAGAATTTACTGCAAAATAAAAATATTGCAAAAAGAGGTTTAAAATAACCAACGCATGTTATCAATATTTATTAGTTATCGCATATATTGCAAAATTAAAAATCAAAAGAGTTATTATTACAATATTTCAATATTAGCTCCTCCCATCCAATTAAACTATGGGCAAATACATGTTAGTAGCACGATACAAAATAACTGAAGTATGAACCACCAAATTGCTAAATTATAAGACTCACAGAAAAATATTAATCATCTTTTTATAGACAGTCATTTAAAGCTAAAAATAAACCAAGATTTAAAAAAGAAAACATAATTATGACAGCAGGCAAAGGCAAGTTACAATGTGGTGAACACTGGGTTGTTTTTTTCTTTTTTTTTTTTTTTTTTGACAGGCAGAGTTAGACAGTGAGAGAGAGAGAAAGGTCTTCCTTCCATTGGTTCACCCCCCAAATGGCCACTATGGCCAGCGCGCCGCACTGATCTGAAGCCAGGAGCCAGGTGCTTCCTCCTGGTCTCCCATGCAGGTGCAGGGCCCAAGCACTTGGGCCATTCTCCACTGCCTTCCCGGGCCACAGCAGAGAGCTGGACTGGAAGAGGAGCAACCAGGACAGAATCTGGAGCCCCAACCGAGACTAGAACCCGGGGTACTGGCACCGTAGGCGGAGGATTAGCCTAGTGAGCCGTGCCACTGGCCTCTCTGTCTGGTTTGACCAAGTTATTTCCTCCCATTCTCCTTATCCAGATGTGTCAATCAGACAAAAGAGGAATGCAGGAAAAGTTATTTTGGATGTTCTCATATTTCTTTTTTGTTTTTTAAGACCTATTTATTTGAAAGGCAAAGCTACAGAGAGAAAGCGGGAGAGACGAAGAGAGATATTCCATCGACTGGCTCACTTCCCAAATGACTGCAACAGCCAGGTCTAAGCAAGGAGCCAGGAACGCCATGTGGGTATCCCACATGAGTGGCAAGGGCCCAAGCACTTCAGCCATCTTCCACAGCCTTCCCAAGCACATTACAGTTCAGAAGCAAAGTAGCTGGGTCTCAAACCAGCATGCCGATGAGGGTTGTGGCACAGCAAGTGGCAGCTTAACCACTGCACCACAACACTCAAATTCTTGCTAACGGAGCCAGAGCCAGAGCAGACAGTTCTAGCACCTCCACCCCCACCCCTTTTTCTTGCTTTAACTCTAGATGGGATAGCATAATGCATGCCCCACAAGACAGTAAGCATGAGCACATAAACTAGCACACATAGCTCAGTGGGATTTTCAACATCCTAATCTGATCCTAAACTACTCTACCCACTTAGGATGTTCCTCAAGTAATCAACAGGTCTTCAAATAGGCTGAAACGATCAGTCAGTCTGACACAAGAGCTCAATTCAAGTCACTCTGGAAAATTCCAGCCCTCCTTCCATAACCTTGAAAAGAAAATGTATGTTCCTTACATAGAATGTAGAAGAAATTTTACCAACCTTGAGTAAGGTTTGTCTTTTAATTAATTAAATTTTGTTAGCTATTTAGTATTTTTCTAGAGAACTAAATAAAAAATGCTAGATGTTCTTTTATTAGTAAAATCAAAATATAGGTAACTGTGGAAAAGCTGGTGAAAATTATATATACTTTGAGTAATAAATGGTAAACTATCACTCAACTACTAACAGATAAATAGTATTAATGCCTCAATTTCAGTTAAAATTTTGCTAAGTGATCGAGTTGCACTTTGTCTATGTAAACCTTCAGCAAACCACTAATGAAACTGGGACCACTGGCACTATATTTCTCAAGGCTACTGTGATGTATAAACAGTAGGCACTTATAGTGGTAGTTTATTTTCAAGCATGGCTTACACCAAAAACTATAGTGCAAACTGATCACTGACTTTACCAAAATTACAATATAATTAAATTATATTGGCAGATAGGGACTGAAACCACACATGGATGTAATATGACAGAGAACAATGTTTGGAAGAGCACAAAATAATTTTTTATAGTAGAAAGTCAACAGAGAGTGATTAAAATAGAAAAATCAGATGGCAGCATCATGAGGACATCATTTAAAGATGTAGCAATAGTGCCCAAAATGCAGCTAAAACAATTCACAGTGGCCACAACTTAGAGCTGGAAAGGAAGAGGATACACAACTGCTATTTTTGGTAACAAGCATCAAACCTCTTCAAAACATAAGTATGTATAACTTCAATAAAAACTTAAGCTAAAATATAAGGAAAAGGATAAATAGGACAACAACTCTTTAAGATGACCAGAAAGAGCAAAAGTGCGAATCTCACAAATTTTACACTGTTCAAGGACAGCAGGATACAGCTGGGTATTTTATTCAGAGGATCCAAGAGGAAAGGGGGTGAGAAAGCGATCTACCATCAAGACAATCATTTTGGTGAGTTCTACTGATTAGAAATTTCAAGCTGTTTAACTAGTCCCTTGGTTTCCATAAATTTAGTTAGCAATTAAAATATCTCTCACTGTAAAAAAGCAAATGAGGTTTTGGGTAGAAAAAGTAGGGATATAAACACCACAAAAATGGTGCTGGAAATAGAAGCTCCTCTACTCTCTCCTGAAACTTCTGTAAATGCAGCAGAGGTACTAAATGAAATACCCACAAACCTATAAAGAAAGAACTAAATGTACAATGAGCAAAGTGACATCCACCAAATACTTGAAGTCAGAAAACTAGATGGGTAATGGTAAGTATTTAAGAGAACACAGAAGGGGCCGGCCCTGTGGCACAGTAGACGCAGTAGGTTAATCCTCCGCCTGCAGCACTGGCATCCCATATGGGCGAGACCCAGCTGCTCCTCTTCCAATCCAGCTCTCTGCTATGGCCTGGGAAAGCAGTAGAAGATGGCCAAGTGCTTGGGCCCTGCACCCATGTCAGAGACCTGGAAAAAGCTCCTGGCTCCTGGCTTCGGATCAGCACAGCTCCGGCCATTGTGGCTAATTGGGGAGTGAACCAACGGAAGGAAGACCTTTCTCTCTGTCTTCCTCTCATTGTCTGTAACTCTACCTCTCAAATAAATAAATAAAATCATTAAAAAAAAAAAAAAAAAAAAAGAGGGAACACGGGAAGGATGTCATCAACCAAAACAAAGTCAGGAAATCTGACATGAAACAAAGACTCAAGAACAGGAAGAAACTTCTTCCTGCTAGGATGAAACAGCTTGAATCAAGATTCATGCAACTTCCCTACTAGGTTCAATCATAAAAATCACATATAGGGCCAGGTGTATGGCCTAGCAGTTTAGGCATCTGCGTTCCAGATTAAAAGTGACTGCAAAAGGTAACCATGAAGAAGTGGGCCAGGCAGTGTCAATATCTACCCTGGACATGTAGGGAAAGGGGCCAGAAACCATACAGAGAGCAACCTCCAAGAGCTAAAAAGCTGAGAGCAGTATGAGACAAAGTTCCGGGCCTATGGAGTAAACTCTAAAAGGACAACACCCTTGGCTAACAGTATCAACTGTTAGAAAATATGGAGCAACTCGAGCTCTCACACGGTGGTGGTACAATGAGGCATGAGAAGTATAAGGCAGCACTGTGAAAACTGCTTTGAAGTATCTGCAGAGGCTGTAAGATCCAAACAACCCACTTCAAGGTGCACACCAAACAGAAATGATCACATACGAGGGTATATGTGTTCATGTGTGCATGCTATTTCAAGAGACTCAAACAAAAACTAAAAACACAATTATCTGTAGTATCTCAAAACTGAAAATACCCAAATAAACTTCCGACAATTAACAGACCACACAACAATGAAAAAAAAAACCAGATGAAATCTCATAATCAACATTTTAACCTTAGAGGTCCTATTATTACTTTGTAAAAATTCACAGTATGGAGGCCAGCGCTGTGGCACAACAGGTTAACACCCTGGCCTGAAGCGCTGGCATCCCATACTAACGCCGGTTCAAGAACCGGCTGCTCCACTTCCTATCCGGCTCTCTGCTATGGCCTGGGAAACCAGTAGAAGATGGTCCAAGTTCTTGGGCCTCTGTACTGGCGTGGGAGACCCGGAAGAACCTCCTGGCTCCTGGCTTCAGATCGGAGCAGCTCCAGCTGTTGCAGCCAATTGGGGAGTGAACATCGATGGAAGACCTCTCTCTCTCTGCCTCTCCTCTCTGTGTAACTTTGACTTTCAAATAAATAAATAGATCTTTAAAAAAAAATCCACTGTATGCTTATAATTTTTTCACTTTTCAGTATGCATGTCATATTATTATGAAGAGCTCACAAAAAAAACCAAAAGAGTCCAGGTGCCCCTGAAGGCAGGGGTAAGGAACAGGCTAAACAGAAAACTGATCTAAACTTGGTTTAAGCAGTAGCTGGAGTCCCAGGAAGCACCCACCCTGTCCGCTCCATACTTTCACCTCATCATCCCAAGAAGACTTTCTTGATGGAAGAGTAAGAGAAGATTTTACAGATTGTGTTAAGAAGGAACTTTCAGAGAACAAGAAAGAATTTATGTTAAAACAGTAAAATCATGATGGCATAATTGTTTTCAAAATAAAGGGCAGAAGGATAAAGTGCAGAAAGATCTAAAAGCAAGAAAAAATAAAGTAGAATTTGGAAGAGAAAAGATAACATTAAACGAACAATCTAAAAGGTTTCATAACCCATTAACAAGAAACACAAGAATATTTCTCAATACCTAACATTTCTAGGCTGAAAAATCCTACTGAATGTCCAGCACAATTTTTTTAAGTCGACAAGCAAAAACAAAAACAAAAAACAGACACTCCTAGAAACTTCTAAAGAGAAAATTAGCTCACCTACAAAGGATCAGGATTCAAAATAGCATTAAACTTAATATCAATCTGAGATGCTACAAAAAAAGGACAAAATATCAATATCTTCAAATTTTATGAAAGAAAAGTACTTCCTCTGTAGCATAATATACTCAGCCACAGTTTAAATCAAATGTAAAGATCAAATCTATTTTTCGAACATATGAAATCCCTCAAAAATTTTGCCACCAAGATAACCCTTTGTTAAGGAAGCTGTTGGCAGGCTTGGCAGGCCTCCATGAAGAAAGATGATATGGGATCCAAACACAGAGGCTATAATGGAGAAGAAGCTGAGAGAAATCACAGGTTGATGCTGAAGGGAATTCCAAGGGCAACTGCTTCAAGTACTCAATATCAAACCAGTGCAGACAACGGAGGACTCCAGGGATAGAATGAGAACAGCAGACGGAACAAAGATTACCATTGAGTTGGATCACACTTTGGAAATCTGGCAGAGTTTAAGGATGAATTAGGAACAAATATAGAATAACAAGCCAAAGAAAAAAACTGTAGCAACTTCTGGCTCCAGGGAAAACAAAACTAAGGATGAACTTAAGGTTCAATACATGGGGAAAAGAGTCACTTAATTTAAAACTCAGAAATTAAGTAATCAAATTGGTTGTTATGTAGAAAAATGGAAGGAAAAAGCAGAATACTACTTAAAAAAGTTGTTGTCTCTGGGATGTGAACATGGGAGTGAAGAAGGAGGGGGCAAGAAACTACCAATGATTTTTTTTCGATGCAACATATAACACTGCTAAAATTTTAGGTCAAGTATTTACATATATATATATATAATTTTTTCTTATTTTTTAAAGATTTATTTATATTTATTTATTTATTTATTTGAAAGGAAGAGCAACAAAAACAGACAGAGAGGTCTCCCAGGCTGGTTCATTCTTCAAATGGCCACCAACAGCCAGGTCTGGGCCAGGCTGAGCTAGGAGTCAGAAGTTCCATCCAGGTTGCCTATGTGGGTGGCAGGGGCCCAAGAACCTTGGCCATCTCCTGCTGCTTTCCCATACACCTTAGCAAGAAGTTAGAATAGAAACGAAACAGCCAAGACCATGGGATGCTGAGGCTGCAGACAGGGTTTAACCCACACTGGCCCCTTTTTTAATATTTTTAAAGAGTAAATCTGAGGTGAAGAAATAAAAAAAAAAAGAAAGAAGAAAATACAACACTCTTTTAACAAAGTTCTATTCATTTCTGAGCACCTGTCTTTTATACTTCACACAGAGTGTTAAAAAATTATAAGCAATACAACAGCACCCTAGACAGTCTGTGGGATACAAGTTAGAGAGGAAGACTTATAAGAAAGTAGGAAATTTAATGAGAAAGGTATGAACTTGATTATCTGCTAAAGAAAAAAAATGTAGGGCAAGGAAGCATCATGTCCCAGGCAGCAGGAAGAGGTGAAGGGGGAGAGGGCTCCAGGAAAGGGAAGAGGTAGGTATCTACAGCTCATGAGGAGCCCTGGATTTCAGCAGGACCACCAAGGGAAGAAGCGAGGTGCTCAGACGAATGAGAGTTCCCCCAAGCAGGTAATTCTGCACAGGGTAAAAGCAATGCTGACTCTGACACTGACAGCTGGCAGAGAAGGGTGAGTCACTGGAGAGGTGGCTTCTAACAGGTACTAGGGATGAGGGCATTCTAGATGGAAGGAACCACACAGGGCATTTGGGAGAAAAGTGAACAAAGAATTTGATCAGGATATAGATACCTGCACAGGCATAACTGAAAAGGCAGGAAGGAGCTACAGTATCTAATAGCATGAACTACAGGCACAGAAGCACACTAACAGAGTATAATTTATTTAGCTTCAATACAATTGACATTAGAAGTAAATCTCTAAAATAGACTAATATTTTGAGATAAATAACACACACATTTCAGTTTCAAAATTTCCTATATATAGTTTACAAACATTATATAAACTAATGTTAATTATACATTGTTAAGGGAGTATGGCTTTTTCCCTTTATTAAATCCAACCAAGCAAAAGGCACAAGAGTTTATCCTTATCTCCAAATACACCACACTGTCCTCTGACAACCAAAACAGTAAAACTTTCTGCAGTTGATTTTATCATACAAGACTAAATCAAAGCAGAAAATAACCTCTGGCTATAGCTCTAATTAAGGTAAATGCTTACCTGAACCTACATGGCCTGTATATTTGACAAGGCACTTCCCCGTCTCTATGCTCCACAGCAAAGCCGTGTGATCTGTAAGATCAAAATCATGAAGTTGTGACTTAGCCATCATCAGTTTACAGCTTGTCCCATTAATGAGTAAGATATTCTAAAAGTGGTAAGTTCTGTTACCCCTAATACTGCTTGCAACTTTGATTCTACTACTCTGTAAAATACAATTACTCAAAGAAAAGATTTCTAATACTGGGGAGGCTGTGATTCCTCTGGCGCCATGGATTTGGCAAATAAATAGACAATCAGGGACTCAATTTCTTAGTGTAATATGACCCTGGCTGCATTTATGCTTGAAACTTACACTTAGAAGTCACTGAACACGATGATTTCATTATTTTACTGGAGTATTAAAACTTTCCAGAATACAATATTCAAATTCAACTAGCATCCAAATCCAGTTACCAATTATCAGAGATTAAGTATTCCTTTTACCCTTTCTCTTACGGGATAATGCTTAAAAAAAATTAAGTAGATTTGATAGGAAAATCTGAAAAATAGCAACTATCCAAACGAGACTGCAGAAATATCAGAAAGGATGCCTTTAATCTTTTTTTAAATTATGATTTCCAAAGCAATCTGGGATGTTCATGTATGAACATGAGTTTCAAATCAGAGAAATTACTTCTTCCATCACTGTAACTAATTTGTCAGATTATAGCAAGTAGCTGACTTCTCACAAGCTGGGAAAATAAGTCTCAACAAGGAAGCACCATTTTTAATGTTATTGATCTTTCTCTGAAGAGGTATTAAATTACCACAGCTTTCACAAAATATCTTTTAGTGAGAAGAAAGGGAGATCCTTTATTTCTCTAATACTTCACACCCCTGTGATTCCATAGGCAAACCCTGAGGAATGCCACCAGCCTCCACTGCCAACTCAACTCTCTGGAAAGTGTGCATTTTCCAGTTTTTATCACAATAGTTACCACAGCTGTACTTCAATAGTATCAGAAAAACATCAAATATAACTCCAGAAAAGAAACACACGTGAATGTGAATAAGAATAGAGCCAATCAAACAATACCTAATGCTTAAAAAATATTCTACCTCTGTTGCCTCTATTATTTGAATATTGACTCCTTAACATAATTAAGTTAAATCCAAGTATTTCCCTCTGCAGATATTCAAATCCACTGTCTATAGTAATCTCCCACCCCCAGGACTACAGAAAGAGAGGACAATATGCATCCTCATATGTTCCCATATCAAAGCCAGATGCTGCAGTTCTGACAATTCCTGCATCATACTTTTGCTTCCACGAATCCCTCCATTATGGACAGCTGAAAGTCTGTCACTTCAGTCAGTCATCAAAGCCATGTGCAGTAAGCCAGCTGGATCAGTATCTGACTCACCAGCAGACGCAGTCCCCAGCACCACTGGCTGTGTCCTTGCAACACTAACATCCCAGATGCCATCCCTGTGGCCAATGTACTCCTTCACAAGCTGGCAGACAGCCCTCGAAGTGGTGGTCTTAAAGCTAGAGACAATCTGAAATGGAGAAGGGAAGTGGCATTGTAACCATGTACTAAAGTAAAATGTTCTAAGTTAAAAAAGGTGAAACAGAAAAAGAGGTCTTGAAAAATGTATCATATCACTGAATAGACTATTTTAAACAATGAAAGAACACAAGCATGAACAGAACCATCTTGTACGGTAACGTCAGGTTCCTTCAGCTCAACGCCACAGAGAATACAGTCCTTACAGAGGTTTCAGAAGACTCCTCCCCCTTCAGTATGATGGGAGTGAGGTACTTAATGTCTTACTACACAAGAAGAGTCACTCTTCCACAAATCCAAATCATCAAACACAATTTTCAAATTTTTTTTAACAAACCAAATAGCTAACTAGCAGCCAGACATGGAAAAAACAAGAAGGATACCCCAAACCATTATCACCAATTGCTGTGATCACGGCAGGACTTGGATTGTTCAGTTTTGGATCACTGACACCAACCACAAACTATCAGGAAGAAAAAAGCCCATGGCAGGGGAGGAATCAAAAGACGACACTTCTAACAGATAAGCAGGTTTGTTCAAGATTGTTTATTGAGCACCTGTTCTGAGTCAGACGCTATGCTAGATGGAAGAGACAGAGGAAAGCAACACAGGGGCTCCTTGCCTTTAGAAGCTCACAGTCTAAAGGGAGACAAGACACGAAAACAATACAAACAATGACAAACACACATAGTAAAGTATTGTCTCATGTAATGCTATACACAACAAACAGTTCTCAGTTTGTCTTATAAGGAAAAATATGTGAGAGAAGAAGAAACTAATGAAACAAATATTTCCTTATAGTTTGGTTTTTAAATTGCTCTCAGATAAAAGAAGGGCTTTTGAGCTTTTAAGTAAATCAGAATAATATAGATTATTCAGAATAATGAAACCATAAACAAAAAAAAGTTGACAGCCTTATACAGCTTACTTTAAATGTTGCTTTAGCAAAGCAACTGGAAAATGTATCTAAATTCATCCTTACATAAATATAAAAACATAATCCAGAATCCACTGCTATATTAATTCATGAACATACATAAAATTTATTTCCAGTACAGTAGGAGACTAAAACAAAGTGCTTGATCAAGAGACTGACACTTTTACCAGTAATCAAAAGATCCATTTGGCTTGTTTTTGTTTAAATTTAACAAGTACTATAAAAGGATCTGTTCAACGTCAAATCCATCATCACCTTCTTTTCTTTCTGAAAGCTATGCAACCCAGAAAAATTATCCCTCCACAATATGAAAAAGTGTTTTTGCTAACATACAGTGCCATTTAGATGGTAAATAATATTACAGAATTTTAGAAGGGAATGAAGCTATAATGCACATAAAACTTTCCCATATAAGAAGCTATAATAAATTTCCTTTTCCAAGTTCTTCAGCATTGCTAACATAAATACCATTAAAACAAACTACTAGAGCCACCTTCTTCATACATCCCATTTATACTGTGAAGCAGAGGGGTTACTGCCTTGAAACTCTAGCTGCATTTCTGGTGTTATTTTAGAAGCAGAAGATAATGTACTCTTAGAATACTGTAATATATCATCTCATGTGTCGCTTCCAAAATGCCCATTATACTCGGATGTTCTGTTAACTTCAATTCTTTATTCTTTGACTTAGTCCCAAGTACAAAACAGTCCAACAAAGCAGAATGAATTATTTAGAAGAAAAACAGAATGATGACACCTGTCATCCTAAATCATTTCAACAATTAAGATACAATCTACAGCCTTTTTCACAATGAAAGATACTTCTCTTCATAAAAATAATTGCAAAAATTTTTACAAGTTTCTTTAAAGGGCTTTGCAGGTTAGACTGTCTTACTACCCTCCCAATAACACGTCAGAAATAAATCACTGGCCACCCAGAAAAGAGAGCAACCTCTTCTGGGTTTAACTTATAACACTGTTTTCTCCCACTGTCTCATCAAACATGCTACTTGCCTTTCATGGCTCGGAGCCAGAAGGAGGGAAAGTAATGAATGTAGACTGACGTATTTTCCTGTTAGAGTCATGCTTAGCTTTAATAACAAGAATCCATGCTGCAGTACAAATCAGAATATAATCTTTTACCAAATTATTTCTTCAATTTTTGAATGACATTCTATTTTTTAATATTTTTTAAGATAGGTACACACAGTGTGCAAAATGCTATAAAGATTACCAATAATATGCTTCTTAACAAATTCAGATGAATGTCTAGTACCTAAAATGATTGGAGCGTTAAATAATTCTAAATAATTAAAACAAAGTATATTATAGATATCCTTACCTTTGTCCAAATCTTAGTTTTTATTGCTCGTGGTAAAGGATAACTTAACATACTCATTTCTTCCTCAACTTCGTAATTAGAAAGTTTTGAAATTCTAAGACCACACACTGTATATATACAACTGTGAGCACAATATGCAATATAATTCAGGATATTTTAACAAGAAATTAAATGTAAAGACCACAATTTCACACTTCATTTAGAAGAAAAAGTTTAAAGCTAATTTATTAAAAATGTCTAGTAAGTATAAGCTATATATTATATAACCAAAAAGATCAAATAAATTGACTTACAATCTAGATGCTATGAAAACAAGGTAAACAGTAGGAAATGCCAGCAATATTTACATTTTCTTTTTAATAAAAGGAAATACCAAAGATTTTCAATAAGAAGAAACAGCAAAAAGTCTAAATTTGCTCTATTAATTGCAGTTTATCTCACTGCAGATGACATGCTAAATAACCTTAAACTCAATAAAAACAAATTGGAAAAATAAAAGCTAATATAAACTAGGTCATCGTAGTAGACTCGCTGCAAATTTTAGCTTTTCCCCTCAGGTTTAGCAAAAGGAACATACATTCACTAAGATTAGGTATATAATTTATCTTTTACATCCTTGAAATACTCCAAAATAGAGAGACATATACAAAACTATCTCAAAAATATGACTTTGCTGCCATAATACCATAAATAAACAGATTCCCAATATAAATCATTGCCACTTTAATGAGGGCAATACAAGATACTTTAAGTAAAATATCACAACTGTTCCTATTTCCCTCTTCCTGATCATACTTAGAAAATAGAAGATAATGAACTCAATGTAACTAAAATGTAACTTTAACACAGAAAACCATAATTTCATTGTTTACACCTATTTATAAGCTTTCTCCAACTTCATACCTTTTATAACAAGCCAATTAAGAATAGAAAATATCTATTTCTAAAGACAATATATTGACTAATATACAAATGTATTGATAACAATAAGCATTAGAGCAAGTTAGTGGATAGGTACCTATATACTGTGGCCACTTAACAGATATTTCTTTTAAAAATTAAATTTTCCTAGACACTAGACATTTATCTTTTTCTATTACACATTTCTAATTGGAAAATATGCAGGTTAAAGTACACATCAGCACACTTTAAACACCACATGACTGGTTCAAGTGTCAGTGCCCTGCATACCTTGCTGGTAGAAGCCTTGTAAGTGGTCTTTAGTTTCTGAGAAAGCTGACTGGTACTGTGACTGGCTGTAGAGATAAAGAATCAACAATCAAATACAGTCTTACAAAGAACGACAGCATCACAAAGCGGATCCTTCATCCTAGGAAGAAAGTGAAACCCAGAAGGGTTCGTTTATCCATAGTAACATGGCAACAATGGCAGAGCTGGAGAAAGAACCCAGGCTGCTCCCCCTCTCTTTATTTCTCTAGACCCACAGCTGAATTATGTACTTCAAGTTCTGCTTACAGCAAAAAAGCAAATCAGTGTCCTTCATTAAATTCCAAATTTCCTTGATAATGTGAGAACAATACTTTTTATGAGCATTTACCTTACCTTTTGTTTTGAGTTGGCCCTTACTAAGTTCTGCTCCATCAATTGCTTGTCCTTCAGCAGCTAAGCGTTCATTAAGAGTATCAATTTCTCTTCGTACTATGGATAAAAAAAAAATTTTTTATGCTAAATGTACTTACCGATTCCAAAACTGGCACATATAAAAAGGTTATATGCTAGTGACATCTAAACAAACATGTGAAAAATATTCTAACAGAAACAATCATAATTTATAGCATTCCCAAAAGACTCAAGACATTCAAAATTTCATTCCAAATATATATATTCATAATCTTACTACACACAGTGGAAGACTCTGCTATCAGGAGCTCCAACAAGGTACCTGATTTGGACAGTTCTGCAACAGTTTCCTTTGTGCTTGGATCTGTGCACTTAGAAACATTATTCTGATACTGTCTGAAATTCAGAGAAGCAAGCAGGTACTTCAAAAAGTTCATAAAAAGACCAAAATAACAGTTTGACTAGGTAGTTAGGACACTGCCTCAGACGCCCACAAACCATCTCTGAAATGCCTGGGTTCAAATTCCATCACTAATTCTGATTCAGTTTCCTGCTAATGCATACCCTGGGGACATCAGTGAGGTTGAAATACTTGGTTCCTGCCACTCATGTGAGAGACCCAGATTGAGTGCTAAGCTTCTGTCTTGAACCTGGCCCCAACCTGGCCGTCACAGCATTTGGACGGTGAAACAGTAGATGGAATCTCTTTCTGCCTTCCAAATAAAATGAAAATAAGCATTTAAAAAACAAAATAAGTAAGCTCATTTTGGTGGTAAAAACTTTGAAATCCATGCATAGTTCCTTCATAATACACATCTTTCATTACTTTTTTTGGAGCTTCCTTGTATTTACAATCTGACTAAGGACACTGTACCTAGGGAAAAATAATATATAGCTACTGACATATGGTACGACATAATTGCCAAGGAGAATGCTTGGGCCCCTGTACCAGTGTGGGAGACCTGGAAGAAACTCCAGGATTCTGGCTTCGGATCAGCCCAGCTCCAGCTGTTGCAGCCACCTGGGGAGTGAACCAGAGGATGGAAGTGTCCTTTCTCTCTCTCTCTCTTGCTCTCTCTCTCTCTCATTCTCTTGGCCTCTGCCTCTTTCTGTAACTCTGCCTTGGAAATAAATAAATAAATATTTTTTTAAAAAATCCAAGAAAGTTCTGAAAAATAAAGAGGAATTACAGAATACAGGAGGGGTAAGAAAAGCATAAAAAGGACAATAGCTATAAAGAACAGAATGAACCAATGAGACTAAGAATGGAAATGTGGATCCTTCTGTACATCAGGCCCTCCTGCAGCATCCATGCTGTTAGCTAGACTGTGGGGATAAGGAAAGAGAGACTCAACTGGGAAACAACTGGTCCAAAAATAGTTACTGAAGTGACACAATGGCACGCCAATGACACCTGCAGTCTCTCAGGACTGTGGGAGAAGAAGACTGGTCTGGCCAAAGGTATTAGTGAAAGGGCAGAACAAGGTAAGATCAGAAAAACGCTGAGGGCAAAAGGCTCTAAACAGTACCCAGTGTGAATAACTTGGATTTTATCTTTTGGATAGCAAGGATCCATCAAAGCCTGTTAAGTACTAAGTAATAATGTAAACTCAAAGTACCTTCCAGAATTAGCAACTCGTAATCCTTTCATTTCTTGACCAAACTGCATAAATTCATAAAATGAAGACCTTTAATCAATGGAAGCTTGATAATTCTCCAGCTGTTAAAACTCTAATATTTCTAAACATCTTAAAAATTAGAGGCAGTATCTAACTTTTATTTTATAAAAAGTTGGAATCACTACTACCTCCATAAATTTTCATAGAAGCTTTTTAAAACAGAAGAACCCAGTTATTAAAACATTAAATTTTCCAATAGCAGAGTTTAAATGACATAGAATTATACATTGTCTTTACTATTGATCCAACTATATCACTTGGCCATGGAGTGAAAAATTGTTTCATGATGCAAATGCTGTTCATCAGTATCCAATTTTTGGAATCAACTTGCAGATAAAGGCACAGAATATTTGATTAGTTATATCTGCATAACGCAAAGTTTATGAACAAAACTCTATAAAAAATTACTTAGCAATGGAGCAGCAAAGGAATGCTCATTTTCTAACATTTCAAGGTAAACTATTAATACAGTTTAAAGATTTATTTATTTATTTGAAAGCCAGAGTTACACAGAGAGGCGGGGGGTGGGGGGCGGTCTTCCATCCAATGGTTCACTCCCCAGTTGGCCACAACGGCCAGAGCTGTGCTGATCCAAAGCCAGGAGCCAGGAGCTTCCTCCGGGTCTCTCATCCTCTACTGCTTTCCCAGGCCACAGCAGACAGCTGGATCAAAAGTGGAGCAGCCAGGTTTTGAACCGGTGCCCATATGGGACGCCAGCACCCCAGGCCAGGGTGTCAACCCACTGTGCCACAGTGCCAGCCCCCTTAATACAGACAGTTTAAAGTGCACAGATGGAGAACCAGAAGTAGACTACTTACATTTACATAAATAATCTCCACAAGAACTAAAAGCAAAAGATGCAGAAAATGTTTTCCCTTAGAGTGTGTGATGGGGTCAAGGGGTAATGGTAGCTATCTCTCGTTTTTCAGTCTTCATTTTAAGTAGATTAGAATAATAGCCACTATTTCTAAAATTAAAAAAAAAAATAAAGCCAAACTACAAATTCTTTTGATTTACCTTAATAAGCCAATTAATACATTTCTTAGAAAATTTTCAAGCGATAATAAAAGGAAAAATATAAATAAAAGTTGTCTTAATTCGCATTACAGGGTTGATATAGGAAAAAAATATGAACTTTTTAAAAATAAAACCACAATTAGGAGGGGTAGATACTTAAACAGTCTGACAGCCCCCCAAAAATGCCCAAGGCCTAAGTCCCATAACCTGTACACTACTTCACAAGGAGCTCTGCAGGTGGGGAGATTACCCTGGATTACCCAGAGTGCCCAATGCAAGCACATCCATCCTTATGAGTGGAGGGGAAGCAGAAAGCTGAACCAGAGGGGCAACAGGAGGACCTATCACCAAGGGGGAAAGGACACAATGAGTCAAGGAGTGCAGCAAGAGACTCTGTCCTGAAAACACAGAGACAGTCTTTGGGAGACACCCCTCCTGAGAGCCTCCAGAAGGAAGCACAGCTCTGCTTCTTTGGCTTTCTTTCCTCTAGTAAGCACCAGGCCAGACTTTTAGAACGGTAAGATAACAGACGTGTACTATTTTAAGCCATGAAGTTCATTACAGCAGATTAGAAAACTAAAACAGGCATTTATGTTTGCCTATGAACTTTACTCTCAAAGATTTTGAAGGGTAACTGAAAAATTGTAAAAGTATATTAAGGTAGGAGATACTCACACTCTAAATTTTCAATATAAAGGTTTTCAAATTCTCTTTCTATTTGACCAAATAGTTCCAGAAGTGTACTGCGAACTGAGGAAGGTAGTTTAGAATCCTGCAGAAGACAAAGATTTTGTTTAAAAGAAATGAAGGAATCAATGAGTAAGAAATTCTAATACCAAGTATCAAACATTTCTCCAGTGAGTCTTTTAATTCTAAACTCTTATTTTACATTATTATATATTTTATTTCTTATACATAAAACACTTTAAAAGCTCAAACTTTCAAATTTCTACAAAGGAAAATATAAGCAAATTGTGTAAGTGGCTATTTAGAATAATATGGGATTTAAGAACAAGCACTTCTCTAAAACAGCATTAAATTTTCTTTATATATGACAGGATGTATGCCTATTATGTTAAAAAACTTCCAAATTTGTAGAGAAGGAATGCAGTTCCCATAAATGAAGTATTATAAACAGCCTTTAAGCCTTATCATATGCTATTACAAAGTATTTTAAAGATTTATATATGTATGTACGTATACATGTATTTGAAAAGTAGTGTGAGAGAGATCAAGACACAGAGAGAGATCTTCCATTCACTGGTTTACTCCCCAAATGGCCACAACTGCCCTAGCAAGGACTTGGGTCATCTTCTACTGCTTTTCCAGGCCACAGCAGAGACCTGGATCAGAAGCAGAACAGCCAGGTCGCAAACCGGCGGCGCCCATATGGGATGCTGGCACTGCAGGCGGTGGTTTTATCTGCTATGCCACAGCACTGGCCCCATAGCACAAACGTTTTGATAGTTGTTTTTGATCCTAATTTGAAAAAAAGAAAAAAGATGGAGGCAGGTATTTGGCATAGGCATTAAGATGCATCTTGGGATGCCCACAATGGAATGCCTACATGGCAGTCCCCACTCTGGTAGAAATTCCAGCTGCCTGCTAAAGTGTACTATGGGAAGCAGCACAAAATGGCTCAAATACTTAGGTCCCTGACAACTGTTACCTGAGACCTGGATTGAGTTCCCAGCTCTTGGCTTTGGTCTGGCCCAGCCCTGGCTATTGCAGACATTTGGGGAATAAATCAGCAGACAGAAGCTCTCTTTGTATTTCTACCTTTCAAATACTTTAAATAAATCAATAAATATATTTAAAATATATTTATTAAGTTTCTTCTGAGATTAACTTCATAAGAAAGCAAATTTTAGGGAAAATGATTACATTTTAGGATAAAGTTCTACAATAATCACAGATCTGACACAAATTTTACAAACTATTTAAATATCTATGTGAAACCACTAGTTGAAAATATGAATCTGGGCTGGGCGTTGAGGTGCATTGGGTTACATCACCACTTGGGGTATCCAAATCCCATATCAGGGTGCCAGTTTGAATCCCATCTGCTCTACTTCTGATAATGCATCTTGGGAGGTAACAGATGATGCCTCAATTGGTTTGGCCCATGCTATTCACATGGAAGACCCAGATGGAATTCTGGGCTCCAACCTTCAGCCTGGCCAGCCAGGGCTGTTGCAGGCATTTGGGAACTGAACCAGTACATAAAAGATCTTTCTTTCTCTCCCCTCCACCTTCTTTCAAGTAGATGAAAAACACTTAAAAATGAATAAAATATGAATCTGACAAAATTGGTAATTTTACATCCCTCTAAAATGCCAATGAAAAGCATGAAAACAAAAAGGAAAACTAACAAAAATCAAAACCAAACTATCACATTCTTTTAAGTATAAAACACAAACTTGTACAGAAATGAGAGTAATAGGCAACCTTTCTCTCTCAGGCCTGCCTTGTGGTCTTTGCACTTCCCATTCCCTTTCTGTGCACGCTCCTTCCTCACAAGTGTTACTCTTCATAGAAGCCTTCTGACTTCTACAGCTGCCAAATTTCCTCCCACTGATCTAGACTCATCACATATTAAGATCTTTATCATTCAGTAACAAAATGTTTATTTACTTGAATACTAAATGAATCTTTAAGTAACTGTTGTGGAAAACAAAGCTGAGATGCAATATGAAAAATAAAAAAATAAAACATTAGCTCCAATTTATAAAACAGATAATGAAGAAACAAAATGTATAAAAAGTGAAATTAGAACAAGTTGAGCCTTACAAAACTACCTTTTCATCTTTTCTATCAGCTCTTTTTTTATGCTACTCAATTCCATAGACACCAAAATAAAAAACTGAAGTCAGAAAGGCTACTATGATTCAGTAAAGCTTTTAAGGAAACTGCATTTCACCAAACAGTTAAAAAACTGTGATACATGCAGGCAAGAGCAGCTCTTCATTCTGTAATCAACACTGTGAGTAGAAGTATTTAGATCCAGCAAACACAGACCTCATTCCCATGCTAACCACTGTTTTCTAAGTTACTTCAGATTTACAAATCTAATTCATATAAAGTTAAACCTAATATATATCATCCAGACTAACCTTCACCTTTTTTATTGATACTATTCCCCAACAAAGAATACCACTATTCATACTTTGTCTAGATTGTGATGTCCCCTATTATTTAATTCAAATCTACTGGCAATCAATAATCCTGTATTCTTAGATCACTCCACTTACACTTGATCTTAGCCAAATAGCCAAGAAGTGATCTGCTTATACTTACCATGCCAACTGCTCACACCAAACATCACTCTCGACCTGCTGCAGAGGGCAGGCACAGCACCTTACACTGGCTCCTCACAGAACATGCTGGTCAGTCCCACTCTAAATAACTATTTATTCAACAAATAAGCACTGTCTAGGGAACGCAGGAGACACAAAGTAGAGGGCCATAGAGGGATTCAGAGGAATGAGTTGTTCAGCTTGGAGAATTCTGAATTACTTTCATGAAAGTTACTGTGAAATGCAATTACCTCCCTGTACTACATCACAATAGAGGACAGGGGCTCAAGAAGGTCAAGAGAAGAACATAATTACCTCATATGTGAGGTAATTCTAGACTATACCAGTAAAGAGGCTGGAGAATTGTCATGGCTAGAAGTCTAAGTCTAAAAAATTTTTAAGCCTATTTTTGACTGTTTACCTGAACTAACCAATATGGTAGCCACTAGCCACACCTATTTAAATTTCCACATCAAGTAATCAGAATTTTTAAAAACTAAAATTTGAGGTTCTGAGTCACATCAGCTACACTTCAAGTGCTCACCAGTCACATGAGGCTGTGGCTGTCATCACATAGCACTGAATCAGAACACTTCCATCATCACAGATGTTCTAACATACAGCTCTGGCTTCACTCTCCAAAGTGTGACGTTATCATTTAAGTAATTAAGTCTCTCAAAATTCAAATGCTGAAGCCCCTAAAACTCACTACCTCAGAACACAACTATATTTAGGGGTAAGGGTTTTACAGAGGTAATTAAGGTGGAAAATAATGTCACAGAGGTGGGTATTAATCCAATATTACTGGTGTCTTTAAAAGAGATTAGGACACAGAGATGTAGAAAGGACAAACCATCTAAGGACTGGGAGGAGGCAGCCATTTACAAAATTCAAGGAAAAAACAAACCCACATCACTCTGATTTCGAACTTCTGCTTCCAGAATGGTAAGAAAACAAATTTCTATTGTTTAAGTCACTTTGTGGTAATTTGTTACAATATCCATGGCAAATTAATAAAATAGAATTAACTTTTAAGGAAAACAGAACAAGGTACAGTCAGCCTTCAACATGAATGGGTCTCATCCTCAGAGTCAACCAACCACATGTTGAAAATATTCAGAGAAAAAAATCCCATCTTTACTGAACGTGTACAGATTTTTTATCATTATCCCCTGAACAATACAGTACAATCATTCACGTAGTGTTTATACTGTATTAGGCACCATAGTAATCTAGAGAATTTAAAGGAAACAAGAGGGGATGAGCAATAGGCACAGTGTTTAAGACATCTGCATCCTATATTGGAGGGCCTGGGTTGGAGTCCTGGCTCCACTTCTGATTCTAGCTACCTGCTTCCATGCACCCTAGGAGGCAGCAGGTGACGGTTCAAGTACTTGGATCCCTGACACCCACGTGGGAGATCTAATAGAGTTCCTGGCTCCTGGCTTTGACCTGACCCAGCCCTGGTTACTGCAGGCATTTAAGGAGTGAACTTGCAGATGGAAGATCTTTGTCTGTCTTTCAAGTAAAAGTAAATAAATAAATGAAGTATACAAGAGAATGTGACAAGTTATATGCAAATATTGTACACTAAGAGATTTGTGTATCCAACAGATTTTGTTATGCTTGGGAGATCTTTCATGATTTTGTTTATCTGTACAACTGCATTTATCTATTCATCCACTCAACACATAATTACTGGCTTCTAAATAAATATCTCTTGTGGCAATAACTATATTGGGTTCTGAGTGCACACAACTATAGTATGGCAGTTATTTCCTGAAAGTCTCAGGCATAAAGTTATTCAACTGGTTCTAAAAAGATCCAACTGTTATTTAAGCCAATTCCTCAAATTTAAGCATTATTTCTATATAGCATTACAGCCAATGAATCACTCTAATTGTGAAGGAATGGTTATAAAATTGAATACATGTATATTTACATATACACATTAGCATGTATTAGAAATATCTATAGTTTATTTTAATGTAACATATACTTTTGTATAGGACTCACAAATAGTCTAGAAATCCTTACATTTTCATCATCTTTAATGGAACTAGAAAAAGTAGAGGCAAAACTTAATCTTTGTCAATAGAACATTAGTTCATTTAATCAGATGCCATACATGCTCACTACAGCAAAGACAAGGACAAAGTCAAGTTAGTAAGAGATCTGACTCCCCAAACTCTTCAGGGAACTGAAAGACATCAATAGAATTGTATGATGCTCTTCTCTTCTTGAGACTGTTGGAGACAGAAAATCCAAAATTAACCTGTACAAAGAATAAAAGCTAACACATACTGTCACATCTACTTCTTTTGGTTATTAATTATAAATACATTAAACCAGAAATTGAATTCTCTCTGTGCATACTGTTGTATTTGACAGTTAATAAGTTTATTTTGGAGGCTCTAGGGGAGAATCCGTTTTGGTAACCCACGTCTTTTTTCTACTTTGAAGACCAATGTATATTTGGCTATCTTGAAAATATTGCAATCACCATCTTTAAAATGTGCTACTAATCAATATTAACTTACTTGTCCTTCTAACATTTCTCTTGGTAGTCCTGTCCTCTCCTGTTCCGAGCTGTTAGTTCTTCGTATAGAAAGGCTATGTGATTTGCGTTTTTGTTTCGCTTGGCGAGCAGTTGAGCAACTTCCGCTTTCTGTGGGCATTACTTCCAGAAGGTAGTGTCCTGGTCACTCCTGCAATAAGCTAAACAACAGCAAGTATTTTATCTCTTGTATAGCAAACTGAAATAAAGGAAAAACAGTAGACAAGAAAACTATTACTTTCAATTAAAAGTTTTCTTACTGTGGTTAACATAATCTTTTTATCAAATTTCATTAATGTTTTAGCGATCAAAGAGCGAGTAAGGGCTTAAAACAAAAAAACTCACTCTTTACCTCACTTTCCTCAGGCTCAGTCTAGTTCCTCAGAGAAAACCAATTTTAATTGCATGTTCTAAACAAAAGATTCTAGAATAACATAACCTAAGAGAAATACAATCTAAAACTACATATGTAACTTCAAATTTTCTAAGGTCCACATTAAAAAAGTAGAAACATGTGAAAATTATTTCTAATGATTTAAAAGTGTCTAAAATATTTTAGTCAACAGAAAAATTATGGGACATTTTATACTGTTTCTGTGATTACCTCTTCAAAATTCAGTCAGTATTTTAATTTCACAGAACATCACAAATCAAACTACTAGATGATTGTTATTTAAACCTCTAAATAATCTAAACATTACGATTTACCTGCTGCTTTGGGTATTTTGTATTCAATTCCTGCAATTAACCATTCCTTCTGTCAATATCTCCACATTAACAGTTTTAATATATTAACACATTACATCTTCCTTCTTCAATTACAGATTTGTTTGTGGTGAACATTACCTACTGATTTTTGCTACAAATTCTCCTTCACATAGAATCCTATTACTATGTCAGTTCATATAAATGCTAAGCAGCGTTGTGCTTCATTATTAATAGAATGCCTTTCTTCAAAATGCTATATATTAAGGCAAAACAAGGCACACCTGCGACTGCTGAGAAACCAACATGCCAAAGGTTCTCTTATCTTGATTTATATAGAAAAACTGGCCTAAAACCCAACATTACAGGAATGGATTTACTAAAAGTGTATTACATGATGGGATAATATGTTGATCTTTAAAATCAACATGGAGACTATGTAAACATTCAAATTCCAAGTGTGCAGTTAAATCTGCGACTTTAGTGACTACATCATAGACCTGTCCCTAAAGCCAAGACCACATTTCCAGTGTGTCCAACCTTCCATCTCCTCAGACACCACCAGATGCTAAATCTCTAAAATGTTACTCCTCTCCTTCTAGATGTCTCCCAAATAGGTGTTTTTTTTTTGTTTTTTTTTTTTTGTTTGTTTTGTTTTTTTTTTTTTTGTGGACAGTGAGAGAGACAGAGAGAGAGAGAGAAAGGTCTTCCTTTTGCCGTTGGTTCACCCTCCAATGGCCGCCGCGGCCGGCACACCATGCCGATCCGATGGCTGGAGCCAGGTACTTATCCTGGTCTCCCTGGTCTCCCATGGGGTGCAGGGCACAAGTCCTTGGGCCATCCCTCCACTGCACTCCCTGGCCACAACAGAGAGCTGGCCTGGAAGAGGGGCAACCGGGACAGAATCCGGCACCCCAACCGGGACTAGAACCCAGTGTGCCGGCACCGCAAGACGGAGGATTAGCCTAGTGAGCCGCGGCGCCGGCCAGAATGTGATTTTTTAACTTTGCATGCTTTTGTTTACCATTTCACCAAAAAATTAATACACTGACAATCTTTTTCCACTGAGAAATTTCCAACCACATATATACATTTCAAACAATTACTTTCCCAAAACCGGACACCAAATGGAGATTTTTTCATATCAGAATTTTATCTTTTAGTAATTTTTTGAACTCTATGAAGTCATAGCTCAAAAATGGGCTGATGATGTCCATATCACACACTGTATTATTTTTTTTTTTTTTTTTTTTAACAGGCAGAGTGGACAGTGAGAGAGAGAGACAGAGAGAGAAAGGTCTTCCTTTGCCGTTGGTTCACCCTCCAATGGCCGCCGCTGCAGCCAGCGCACCGCGCTGATCCGTTGGCAGGAGCCAGGATCCAAGTGCTTTTCCTGGTCTCCCATGGGGTGCAGGGCCCAAGCACCTGGGCCATCCTCCACTGCACTCCCTGGCCATAGCAGAGAGCTGGCCTGGAAGAGGGGCAACCGGGACAGAATCCGGCGCCCCGACCGGGACTAGAACCCGGTGTGCCGGCGCCGCAAGGTGGAGGATTAGCCTATTGAGCCACGGCGCCGGCCACACACTGTATTATTTACACGAAAAGATTATCTGGCTAATTCAAGTTCTGCCTCTTCCTATAATTTCTTCAGCCATTGTTCAACTATCAATACTCTTTCAAAATTAGTTCTGTATTTTTTCCTTCTAGTCCCTTTTTTTGTTATTAATCTTTCTCTGTTAACATTTCCAGTGACTTTTTATAATTTTACTTTTGTTTCTCATTCATACCCTCCCCCTTTCTCCCCAGCAGTCTGTACTGATACTATATCACTACTTCCTTTCACACCACATCCTCTATGGAGAGTAAGTCCAGAACCTACATAACTTAAGGCTACAGGCTCTACTGAACTCATCTCAGGTCATGTGTCAGTATTAGCAGCAATCATATTAAATGTGTGATTTAATAACAAATTTCGAATTTTAGGCTGGTGTCATGGAAAGACAGGCAAGGAAGTTGTAGGTGTCTGTAAAAGGAATATTGATATGAGTTACCTAAGCTGACATGAAATGAAAATAAAGAATAGAGAGATACTGGAGGAAAGTCAATGGGCAATTCTACCTAAGGCTGAAGAATTACTATTACTACAAACAGTAGCTTTAAGGCTTAAATGGCTCAATAAATATAAACAATCACTAAGCCTTACAACATCCATATGAATTAAAGTTCCCAAATTCAATTAACAACCTGTACAAAAGACTTAACACTTTGGTAAACTGATTATATGAAGTCACTTCAAAAAGTTTGTAGAAAATGGAATTAAAGGTAAGTTTATTTTGGTATCTAAAATTTTATTAACTTAAATCTAAAAATAAGGGGCAGGGTTTACCCTAGAGGTTAAAGCACCAGTTGAGTCAACCTATCCCATACAGGAGCGCCTGGGTTCAAGTCCCAGCTCCACTCCCAGTACCAGCTTCCTGCTAACACACACCCTGGAAGGCAGCAGATGATGGCCCAAGTATGTGGGAGTCCCAGATGGAGTTCCTGGCTCCTGGTTTCAGCTTGCCCCAGTCCCAGGTGTTGTAGAAACTTGGGGAATGAACCAGTGGATAGATCTCCCCAAAAGCCTGCAACAGCAAGGCTGGTCCAGGCCGAAGTCAAGAGCCTAGAACTCCACATGGGTCTCCTGTGTGGGAGCAGGGACCTCAAGTACCTGAACCTTCACCTGTTGCCCTTTGTTACACATGAGCATGAAGGTAGATGGGGGTTGAGCCAAGACTCACATCCAGGCACTCCAGTGTGGGATGCAGGCACCTCGAGCAGCATTTTAGCTGCTGCAGCACAATGCCTGCCCCTTCCTACATTCTCACGCAGCAGGGCTCTACGTACAGCATGCGGTGAACACTTAAACTAATGAAAACTATAAACTTACTTCTTCATCTCAGCAAGTTAACTCCTCACCTCTGCAAATGCTGTTGCATTATATGCCATTGATGAACATTTAGCTTTCATAAATTATCAGATCCTTCTAAATGCATGTAACTCCAAGAAGGCAGATAACCAAAGTGGTTTTTAGAAGCAAAGACAGCATATTAATTTATGCCTTCATCATTCGGATCTGGCTGAAGAGCCCATGAGAGTATTTTAGGCATGGAAAGCCAAGACACTCTGGCAAAAAATAAAAATAAAAAAACCTAAATGAAAGATCTCTGCGAGTGAGATCCCAGTAGAAAGAACGGGGCCATCAAAGAAGGAGGTACCCTTCTCTGAAGGGAGGAGAGAACTTCCACTTTGACTATGACCTTATCTAAATAAGATCAAAGTCAGCGAACTCAAGAGGCTTCCATAGCCTTGGCAACTCATGACTAGAGCCTAGGGAGATTACTGACACCATAAACAAGAGTGTCAAATTGTTAAGTCAACAACAGGAATTACTGTGTACTTACTCCTCATGTGGGATCTCTGTCCTTAATGTGTTGTCCAGTGTGAAGTAATGCTATAACTAATACTGAAACAGTATTTTATACTTTATGCTCTGTGTGGGTGCAAACTGATGAAATCTTTACTTAATATATTCTAAATTGATCTTCTGTATATAAAGATAATTGAAAATGAATCTTGATGTGAATGGAATGGGAGAGGGAGCAGGAGATGGGAGGGGTGCAGGTGGGAGGGAAGTTATGCGGGGGAAAAAGCCATTGTAATCCATAAACTGTACTTTGGAAATTATATTTACTAAATAAAAGTTAAAAATTATGCCTTCATTTGAAATAAAAATACAAAACTAAAAAAAAAAAAGCTGAGATTTCAACTATTTTTCTTCATCAAGAGAAAAAACACTTGCTTACATGGCTAATTCCATGACTCATACACAAAACAATGATTAAAGGATATAATTTGTGTGTGGCTTTAAAAAAACAGGCGACCAAATCTCCAGAAGTCTGGTAAAGTTTTCTGTTAAATTTTGTGGTAATACAAATGTTAATTGCCTGCAGACTGAAACACCAACCACAACTTCGAAGCAGTACCAAAGGAGAGAAAGGTCTTTAGTAGCAATCTCAGAAGTCTCTCACCAACATTACTCTGCTTACAATGTTTTGTCACCGATGAGATGAATGCATAGAATACATGCTTATCAATTTTGTGGACGGTTACAGAACATGGGCATCGTTAACAGGATAAAAAGAAAGCAAGCAAGATTTTTTAAAGATCCCAACAGTTAAAAGAATGAATTCAAACCAAGGATGAAAGTCATTAATATAAAATCTTTTCCTTAAAGAATGCAAGGCAGGATAATTAAGAAGTCTCTTACCATCAGTTCAGAAAAAAAAAGGACTTAATAGATTTTACAAGACAAGCACAAAATAAGTGGAACAGTCTAAGGACACGGTATCCCCAAAAAAGTAGTCAGGTTGAGAGAAAGGGAAGGAAACATACTTAATAAAGATCTCCTGTGTCCAGCGCTTTACAAGAATGCTTGCCATGTATTAAATAACCTTCCAAATAACCAAATGAGGTTAAGATAGCAATTTTAGAGGGCAGGAAATGAGACTTAGAGGTTCCTCGATCAAGGTCACAGAGCTGTTACGGGACGTGTCCGGCATCCACTACCCAGCATACTGTCTCCTGTGAGCGGTGTTAATAAGGCAGCAGCCGAAACAAGGGGCTAACAGTGTCAACTCCACTTACTCCACTTCGGTCAGACACATTCGTTTGGATACTGTTTTCCTATCTGGAAGCGGATCGTTCTCAGAACCCTCTGAAGGCCGTAATTCATGGGTCAAAACATACCGAGGTGAAGACAGAACCATCTGAACGTAAAGCAAACTTCTGAACAATGGCTGTCAGTTTCAAATGGACCTGCCCCGGCGCTGAGGACCGCTGCAGTCTGCAGACAGATGACAAAACCTCCAACCACCTGGCCGGCGCTAAGATACCTTCCCCCCTGAGCTGAGAAAGTTCTCGCACTTCCACAACTTTCTTTAGCAAGCGGGCGCATTGTAACTGTGTCACTGTTAGGTTCCCCACCCCCAGCGGTGGTCAGCTCACCGGCGGATAGGAAACCACTCTTCAGAAGAGGAACAAAAGCGGCAAGGCGCTAGAGTAACCGCTTCGGCATCTGCTCTCAACTCTCCCCCTCCCCGCCGCCCCTTTGGGTGCAGCAGAAGGCCCTGGTCTCAGAAAAACCTCCCCAGCGCTGTCCCCGCCATACAGGAAGCCCCGAGATGCCCGGGCCGCGGCGCCGCGGGACAGCGGGGACCCGACCCCCGGTCCCCTCAGACCCCCTCCTCGACCGCGTCTCCAATTGCACCCCGGCCTCTCGCCCACCCTATCCCCTACAGTTCCACTCCCACACCTCCTCGACCACCTCGACCCTTCCCCCTGGCATCACGGAAAGGACGCGGCGCTGGATAGCGGGAAGATGGCGGTGCAAACCTACCACAGCCGCCGCGCTCGTCACTACCCGGAGCCTGTCCGGGTTGCGCTCAGCTCGTCGGGTCCCAATACGTAGCACCCAAGCCAACACACAAGACACCGGCCGACTTCGCACTGACGCGACCCCACGACCCCGAGTTGGCCCAACCGCACTTCCGCCTGCCATCGGAAGTCCCGCCCCGGCCTCCGCCTCAGCCCGGAGCCACCGGAAGTCGGCCCCCGCCGTACGCCCAGCGTCGCCGGAAGTGCCGCTCACGCTGGCGCAGCCAAATACGCGTACCGGTTTCCGCCCTCCGGCCAGAGCAGCCTGAGTACACAGTGCTGTCCTTGCCTACCGTGTGGTGCTGGCGCTCGGCCACGCAGCCTGCCTCTGCGCCCCGGCGCCGGGGGAGGAAAAGGCGTATGGTCTGGGAAGGGAAACGGGCATGGCGCCCCCTGGCGCCGTGGGGCGGCGCGTTACTTTTTGAGTTGGGTGCTTCATGGAGAAAACCAGGACGCAGACCCCGCCAGACCCAAGCCTTGCACCCTCCAGAGACGCAGGGTCGTTCAGGGCGCCAGCCTCCCTGGGTGCCCCGAGCGTTAGTAACATGTGAAACACGCACACGCGACCTGTACTCACCGCTGCAGGGCTTCCGGTGGCGGTCCACGGTCAAGCAGGTTTTAATTCCATCTGCCCTGAAAGCTCGCCCAAGCCTAAGAACTGGGAAGGAGAAAACAGCCCCCTAAGATACAAGCTCAAGCATACTGCGCGTAACTGTGGATGAGTTTCAAAACCTTTCCGATCCAAACCGCCGACTTGCCGTGAACCGCTTCACTGGCAGAGCTCTGTGGGAGACTTGCTTTCGGCTGCTCGGAAAACCTGATGGAGCTAGAACTATTAATATTTCAGCTTATCTGCAGAAGATGACTCACCCAGTTTCCTCCTGAAATGTTTGATCACCATTGGCTAAAAAGAGAAAACAGAATCAGCTGTTCACTGCGAAAGGTGGGACTTGAACTGCTTTTTTTTTTTTTTTTTTACCCCCTTTAATCTAGGTTGGCAAACCTACATAATAGACTGGAACGATTACGTAAACAGTCTCTTGGCTTTACCAGCAACTCTAATCAGGCGTTAAAGCGCACCAAATAAAATTTTTTTTAAAAAGCATTTTCTTCCATATGAGTCAAGATTCTTGCTGCTCCCTTTAAAAATAAAGATCAAGATTCACATGCAAGAAGCAGTGATGGGATATATTTGTTGCACAAGAAATAAATTTAACAGATTTGGGTATCCGGATTTTTAAAAACATGTTCAACAGAGTTATTTCTGCGTTACGTGTAATAATAAAGGCTTACTGCTGGAAACAGTTGGGTAAGAAGAACTCTAAGGAGAGGAGGGTATTTCATTTGTCACTTTCAGACTTGGAGGTTGTGACAGACATTCAGATAACAATTTTGTTTAGTAAATAATATGCCCAAGACATCCTGCTGGGTGTGAGGACAGAAAGCTTTGTGAATCTCAGGTTCCCATTCGAATAGGTGGGTTATTTGGTAGCAGAGCAGTCACAGTTCAGATGCTAGGATTTTAACAAAAGTCATATTTTCCTTTGATATGCTTAAGATTCCACAAAAGTCACTGAGATCAACTGAGAGCATGATGCAGTGTCAGAAATTCAAGGGAAAAGAATCCACACTTTGGGGCTGGCGCTGTGGCGTAGTAGGTAAAACCACTGCCTGCAGTGCTAGCATCCCACATGGATGCCGGTTCAAGTCCCAGCTGCTCCGCTCCTGATCCAGCTCTCTGCTGTGTCCTGGGAAAGCAGTAGAAGATGGCCCAAGTCCTTGGGCCCCTGCACCCACATGGAAGACACGGAAGAAGCTCCTGGCTTTGGATCAGCACAGTTCTGGCCATTGCGGCCAATTGGGGAGTGAACTAATGGATGGAAGGTCCCCCTACCCACCCCACGCCTCTCCTCTGTGTAACTCTGATTTCTCAATAAATAATAAAATAAGTCTTTTTAAAAAACAAGAATCCACACTTTTGTGAGCCAGTCATTTTACATATCTCACAGCTTGTCTAATCCCCAAGGCAATGCAGTAAAGCAGAAATCTTTATTGCAACTTCGCTGTTAACTGAGCTTGAGAACATTGAGATGACCTGTCAAAAGTTAAAAAGCTAGTATGCAGTGGGGCAAAGATAAAATCCAGGCTGACATCAAATATATTAAGTTTGGTAGGGCTGCAGTAACAAAACACCACACATTGCGATCTAAATAGCTCTCAGTTCTGGAAGCTGCAAGCCCAAGGCCAGGGGTTGTTTCCTGCTCAGAGCTGTGGGGTTGAGTCTTTCCCATGCTGCTTGTAGCAGTATAAGTAATCTTCACGTGGTGTTCCCATGTGATATCTGTCTCTTCATGTGACGTTCATTTTTTAATGTTTTATGTATTGGAAAGGCAGAGAGAATTTCTGTCTGCAGTTTCACTCCCCAAATAACCACAACAGTTCTGTTTTTAGGACGTCAGACCTCATTTTTAAAGAACAGTGAGTGAGGATTTCAGCTTATGACAGGGCCGCAGCAGGGGAAGGAGTGCAGATGAATTCAGTCCATAAGACTATCCTGAAATAATTGTCCCATCATTTTTTAAAAGACACAAAACTAGCCTAAATTGTAAAAGGTTATGATTGCAGTCCTGGTATGCAGTTACATACTCCCTCCTGCAGACCCTTCCCACAAAACAAGTTCCTGTCTTGTCACATGTCTTTCCAGGTCTAATATGCATGCCTCATCCCCATCAGTAATAAAATGATTTAGTAAAACTGAATTGTGAACATGGTTTGATATTCCTTCATTTGCCTCATCGCTGATTATTTTATCTGTGCTACAACAATCACTCCTCCATATCTGTGGGTAATCCTGCATCCTTGGATTCAACCAACTATGGATCAAAAATATTTTTAAAAAATTTCTCCTGTACTGAACATATACAGACTTTCTTGTCATTATTCCCTAAGCAATATAGTGTGACAACTATATGTAGCATTTACATCATAGGTGCTACAAAAAGACTGTACAAAATGGAATTAAATAGTAAGTGTATTTTGGTGCAAAAACATTTGAAATCCATGCAGCTTTTTCATATTAGGCATTTTTCATGAACTGTTGGAAGATTCCTCATATTAGCTATTAATCTACAGATTATGTAAAATATGCAGGAAGTTGTGCATAGGTTATAGGCAAATATTACCCCATGTTATATAAAAGACAAGAATTTTTGGCATCTCCAAGGTGTCCTGGAGCCAGTCCCTCATGGATAATGGGGTGGGGCAGTGTACCATAGTATTAAAAACTTCATTCAGGGCCCAGCACTGTGGTGTAGCAGGTAAAGCCGACGCCTGCAGTGCCGGCATCCCATATGAGCGCTGGTTCTAGTCCCGGCTGCTCCACTTCCAATCCAGCTCTTTGCTATGGCCTGGGAAAGCAGTAGAAGATGGCTCAAGTCCTTGGAACCCTGCACCCATGTGGGAGACCCGGAAGAAGCTCCTGGCTCCTGGCTTCAGATCACCTCAATACCAGCTGTTGTGGCCATTTGGGGAATGAACCAGCAGATGTCTCTTCCTCTCACTATCTATAACTCTACCTCTCAAATAAATAAATAAATAATAATTATAAAGGCTTGCTTTGTAATCATTTGGTATATGTATTTACCTGTCATATTTTTTCTTCTTGGCAGGTACTTCATATTTAGCATTTCTTTCAAGTACGCAAAACTTTTTCTGTTTTGTTCACTGATACATTTCCCTGACCTAGGAAAGTGATGGCCTCATACTGTGCACCCAATGAATGTTTGCCAAAGAGCAATTAATGTTTGTACTTTTAATAAGTATGTAAACTCCCTAATGGCAGAGGTCAAGTTTTCTCATTTCTTTTATCTACTGAAATTCAAGAAGAGCACTAAGGAAAACAGTCAGCTAGAATGTGAATATAATCACCTGAAGAACTGCTCAGCCTTTTCTCCTACTTACAACTACTGTCACTTCACCCAAGAAGAGTTCATTAAAAGTCTTAAGGACTAAAGAGACCGGTCCATCTGGTAAAGATTCACCAGCACTGATTTGATGACTTAATTCACTTGTCCATCGTCCATGAGGTTGGAACAGATACTGATGAATAAATACTCCCAAAGTCTCACCTGGGAAAACATTGCATTCTCTTAGTACATACCATGTTTTCTGTATCTAATTTTTGTGCATCCCATATTGGCACCGGATCGAGTTCCAGATGCTCCACTTCTGATCCAGCTCCCAGCTGATGGTCTGGGAAAGTAATAGAAGATAGCCCAAGTGCTTGGGCACCTGCATCCATGTGGGAGACCTGGAAGAAGCTCCAGGCCAACTTCAGGTTGGCCCCTCTCTGGCTGCTGTGGCCATTTGGGGAGTGAACCAGTGGATGGAAGACCCTTCTCTCTGTCTCTCCCTCTCTCTAACTGCCTCTCAAGTAAATAAATAAATCTTAAAAAAAAAAAAAAGATTTTTAAAAAAGGGACAAGTAGTCTAATCTCAGTCTTCAAACTGTTTTTAGAAATATGTTTGTTGGATTGGGGCTGGTGCTGTGGTGCAGCGGGTTAACACCCTGGCCTGAAGCACCGGCATCCCATATGGGCGCCGGTTCAAGACCCAGCTGCTCCTCTTCCAATCCAGCTCTCTGCTATGGCCTGGAAAAGCAGTAGAAGATGGCCCAAGTCCTTGGGCCCCTGCACCCACATGGGAGACCTGGAGGAAGCTCCTGGCTCCTGGCTTCGAATCAGTGCAGCTCCAACCGTGGAGCTGCACATGGAAGACCTCTCTCTCTCTGCCTCTCCTCTCTCAGTGTAACTCTTTCAAATAAATAAATAAATCTTAAAAAAAATAAATATGTTTGAGTCAGATCTAGAAAAGGAGTTTTCATGATTTTGAGTAAAACAAATAGGCATTGGTCTCATTTGTGTCATCTGGATTCTTACACAATGGGGTTATACTGGGGAAAATGGTTGGAAACTCTGCTTAATGAACTGCCAAATATATATCATAAATCTGTTACAGATAATGTCAGAAAACTATTACCTCTGTTGAAAATAAGTACATATGAATAACTTTACACTGGCCACACAGTTGATACTTTCATTTCTTTGTTAACACCACACAACTCCTGACCCAACAAGCATTTGCATTATCGAAAGTGATACTGCCCAGTACTGTTGTGCCTATTTCAGGGCAGAAGAGCTCCACCAAACAGTGACTAGCACAGTGTCACGGAGGAGGCTGAGCTGAAACGCCCCCAGCGGATGTCTTTTTGTTAGTATCAGCCACAGTTACATGAGTCTGAATTGGGTAAGTGGCCCTATGCGTACACAGAGAATTCCTCTGTTGTGTATTCTGATCCCGCTTCCCCATCAACATTAAATACCAAGGCATCATGGTGAAGCTATCATTGCCAATCAGATGGCAAAGTCTGACATGACAGAATCTTCAAACTGGAGTGTTAGAATGCAAACACTATAGTATGTAATAAGTCTATAATATTTACCCATTATGTTATAAATCACAAAAAATAACAAACACCACCTAAAATTCAAATACAGCACGAATAACTCCATTTTAGTTTGGTCTCTTAGGATCTAGCACAAGAGTTCAGTCCAAAACAACGGTCTTTCACAAATCTTGTTTCATAAGGATAAAGAGTGAAATAAACTGGAATAGATACCATTTTATTTGCAACAGCTTATGTATACATTTCTTTATGCATAAAAGTGCCAACTCATGTGGTACCTCACTGGTATTGTAAGTCAGAAACAATATTCTCAAAGTTGTGATAGCCAGGAAAGTTTCTGCCTTCTTGCTATTATTAATATTTTTTTTTTGACAGGCAGAGTGGACAGAGAGAGAGACAGAGAGAAAGGTCTTCCTTTACCTTTGGTTCACCCCTCAATGGCTGCTGCAGCTGGGGCTCCACGCTGATCCAAAGCCAGGAGCCAGGTGCTTCTCCTGGTCTCCCATGCGGGTGCAGGGCCCAAGCACTTGGGCCATCCTCCACTGCACTCCCGGGCCACAGCAGAGAGCTGGCCTGGAAGAGGAGCAACCGGGATAGAATCCAGCGCCCCCACTGGGACTAGAACCCGGGGTGCCGGCGGAGGATTAGCCTATTGAGCTTTCTTGCTATTATTACTTCTGGTATCTTAAAGGGGCCACACATATTGAGATGGTTCTGGAACCAGTAACAACACCTACCATACCTACTTATTTATTTTCCCATAACTATGTTTACACTTGTGTTAAAATGCTAACAACATTAAGATATGGTTCAAAACCTCAAATTCTAAGTTACTTAAAACCAGTAACATGGAGCAGGTCTAGTACTTAAGCTGCTGCTTGGGACAGGTATATCCCATATCAGAGTGCCTGGGTTCAATTAAATCCTGGCTGCACTCTCCATATCAGCTTCCTGATAATGCACACCTCGAGAGGCAGCAGGTGATGGCCCAAGTCCTTGGAACTCTGCCACCCAAGTGGGAAACCTGGATGGAGTGTCCAGCTCTTGGCTTTGGCCTGGCCCCAACTGAGCAGGCATTTAGAAAGTGAACCAGTGGATGGAAGTTCTCTCTCTCTCTCTCACTCTATCTCCCCCCCCCATTCCTTCTTTCTCTCTTCCTTTCAAATAAATAGATGAAAATTTTTAAAATAATGACATGAAACAAAATAAGGTTCATGAAGCATGATATTAAGTATATTCCTAGTTTAAGAAAACTAGAAGCCGATGTCACGGCTCACTAGGCTAATCCTCTGCCTGCGGCGCCGGCACACCGGGTTCTAGTCCCGGTCGGGGCACCAGATTCTGCCCCGGTTGCCCCTCTTCCAGGCCAGCTCTCTTCTGTGGCCCAGGAGTGCAGTGGAGGATGGCCCAAGTGCTTGGGCCCTGCACCCGCATGGGAGACCAGGAGAAGCACCTGGCTCCTGCCTTCGGATCAGCGTGGTGCGCCGGCCGCGGCAGCCATTGGAGGGTGAACCAACAGCAAAAGGAAGACCTTTCTCTCTGTCTCTCTCTCTCTCACTGTCCACTCTGCCTGTAAAAAAAAAAAAAAAAAAAAAAAAAAAAAAAAAAAAAAACTAGAGCGCTTTTGCTAGGAATAGTTGGGAAATGCACCAAGGAAATGAAATGTAAACTGAACTTTGAAGGCTGTATAAGATACACTGACTGATGGATAGAGAAGAGGGAGGCACATTTCAGACAGACATAAAAAAAAATAAAGGCAGAAAAAAGATGTCTATAAAAAAGTGACAGCAAAGCAACTGGCCCAACTGCTGTAACCAGAGGTTTTGCTCCAGCAAATGATGTAAAATGACTCTAGAAGACTCTGGGAGGCCTGTAAAATCAAACCTCTCAGTCTTTAAAACAAACAAACAAACAAACAAACAAGGATTTGTTGTACATTCCTGAGGATGGAAGCATGCAGAAGTAGGCAGAAGGGTTCCCTCCCAGCGTTCACTCTCAGACTTCTTGTGGGCTCCTCTTCTGTCTGCATGTTAGCCTGCAGTTCTCAGTAATCCATGTCCTGCCACTTTCTAGTCTCAATTCACACCCTCTTGTACCCACTCTTGCAGCTTCACCTACAGCTTATCTGCTTATAGATTCAGATCTCTGTGTTTGACCTAGAACTCTCTCACAAACCCTTAACTTGTTTAATCTGCATATTTCTGCCTGGAGAGGTAGTCAAAGTTGGAGCCCTCCCTCTAGACTTGAGCCAGATCACCCAGGTTCAAACCCCTGATTTTTGCCACTTACTAGCTGTGTGACATTGGGCAAGGTCTTAACTTCTCTCTGATCAAATTAGGATAAGCATGTTTTCCATCTTTTGCCACTGTATTAAATAAATTTATATATGCAAAGTGTTTATAACTTTACCTGGCACACATGAGATAGTCAAATGATACTATAATCATCATTGTGGATATCTCAAGGCTTTGGTGAATTCTTGTTACAGAAACCTAACTTAAACTTGATTGAGCAAAAAAAGGAGTTATTCTTTTTTTGTTTTTTGTTTGTTTGTTTGTTTGTTTTTAAGATTTATTTATTTGAGTTACAGACAGACAGAGGGAAAGGTCTTCCATCCACTGGTTTACTCCCCAAAAGGCTGCAACAGCCAGAGCTGAGCCGATCTGAAGCCAGGAGCCAGGAGCTTCTTCTGCATCTCCCACATGGGTGCAAGGCCCAAGTACTTGGACCATCCTCTGCTGCTTTCCCAAGCTCTTAGCAGGAAACTGGATCAGAAGAGCAGCAGCCAGGACTCAAACTGGCGCCCATAAAGGATGCCGGCACTACAGGCAGAGGCTTAGCCCACTACACCACAGTGCCAGCCCCCATTAATTCTTAAAGTATGAGAAGGGCAAGAATGCAAGTGACCAGGAAGACAAACAAAACGAAGGGCTTTCTCTCCAACTCTGTGCTTTACCTCTTTCGGCTGTCTTCAATCTCTCCTACGTAGACCAGCTCCTTTCACTAGGTAGATTACCTATCTGCCATCAGCGGCCAGGGTATCTTCAGCTTAGGTGTCCAAGAAGCACTGATCCTTTTCTCATCACTACAACTCAAAAACTTCGGAGAAAAATCCTAGGTGTTTTAAGTTGCAGCCTGTGCCTACCTGCCCACGCTTTGTTCAGTGGGATAACTGCAGTCTCCTTAAAAATCATATTCTTGAGGCTGGACTTTTGGCATAGCAGGTTAAGCTTCTATCTGCAAAGCCAGCATCTCACATGGGCACCAGAATCCCAGCTGCTCCACTTCCAATCCAGCTCCCTTCTAATGGCCTTGGAAAGCAGCAGAAGATGCCCCAACTGTGTGGGCCCCTGTCACCCATGTGGGAGACCCAGATGAAGCCCCTGGCTTCGACCTGGCCCAACCCTGGCCATTGTGGCTATTTAGGGAGTGGACCAATGGAGGGAAGTTCTTTCTCCCCCCTCTGTAACTCTTTCAAGTAAATAAATAAATCCTTTTTTATTCTTTTCATATTCTTGGAGCATAGGGAGGAAAGACTGTACTGGGGAAAGGGAATGGGGCAATACACGTTATAGAAGCGGTGCCAAGTGTAACTTTGTCCCAGGCACTACAAGTGCAGCATAATAAGAACTGTTATAGCCCTTCGCTGTCCCAGTTCTGTTGGTCCTCTGTGGGTAACTTATCTGAATGCTGCACTCACTTTCTCTCACCAGGAACCCAGGAGTAACCTGAGACTGACTAACCCTTATCCTCTCAATCCAAGTATTTTACCAATCTAAGATACATTTTTGTTCACATCTCTAAATCAGGGATTTGTCTTAACTTTGTTTTTGAATTTATCTTAACATTCTATTTTTGAATCTGTCTCGATGGGGCTCTTTGACAGCAGCTGTTATTTCTATTATTTTTGTATCCCTGATAACCGGACATAAAGGAAGAAAAGAACCTTTTAGTTGAATGAATAAACTAATAAAAGAAGGCTGAAATGAGAACAGAAGAAATCAAGAGGATTACACTTTCAGATTATTAAAAGCAGCAACAACACTGAGAAACAATATCCAGGGGCTGGTACTGTGGTGTAGCAGGTAAAGCCGACGCCTGAGTGCCGGCATCCCATATGTTCAAGTTATGGCTGCTCCACTTCTGTTCCAGCTCTCTGCTATGGCTTGGGAAAGCAATACAAGACGGCCAAAGTCCTCGGGCCCTTGCACCCATCTGAGAGACCCAGAAGAAGCTCCTGGTGCCTTGCTTCAGATCAGCCCAGCTTCGGCCATTGCAGCCATTTGGGGGAGTAAACAGCCCTTTGGGGAGTGAACCAGCAGATGGAAGACTTTCTCTCTCTCTCTCTCTCTCACTCTCACTCTCTCTCTGCCACTGCCTCTCTGTCACTCCGCTTTTCAAATAAATCTTTAAAACAAAACAATATCCCATTCATCATGCCATCACACAAAGTAAAGCTGCTTGCTAAATTACTGATAATGCAGTCATTGAAAATTGCTGAAGGAATCTGCCAATTAACACCAAGGGTTACCTGCAATCCTGTATAACCGGAAAAGGATCTACAAATTAATCTTGAAGTTCTTATATCACACATATCAAAGCCTCTGTGACCACAGCTACGGCGGGGTGAATGTTCCAGTCGACTTCTGTTGAAGATCTGGATGGAGTTCCTGGCTCCTGGCTTCAGCATGGCCCAACCTTGGCTACTGCAGCCATTTGGGGAGAGAACCAGGAGATGGAACCTCTGTCTCTCCCTTTCTATGTGGGTGCGTGTTGGGTGCTTCTCCCTCTGTCACTCTGCCTTTCAAACTTACAAGCATGATCATCAGAAAAAGCTATTAAAAGCCTTAACTTTGTATCTACAAATCTGAGACCATAGTTCCTTCTTCCTTCAGCCAATACAACACCTAGTAGCTGTCTGCTAGTAAGCGAGACATTACATTTGCAAAAATGTGAGACAAGAAATTCTTCCAATTTTTGTTTCAGAAAAATGTTTTTCAGGGCTAGCACGTGGCACAACAGGTTAAGCCACAGCCTGTGATGAACACACCCCATATGGCACCGATTCGAGTTCCAGCTGCTCCACCTCCCAGCTAATGCATCTGAGAAAGCAGCAGAAGATGGCCCAAGTACCTGAGCACCTGCCAACCACATGGGAAACCCTGATACCTCCAGGCTTCTTCCTGGCCCACCCCTGGCTGATGTGGCCATTTACGGAGAGAACCCAGGGGATGGAGATCTCGATCTCTCCCCACCTCCTTAATTGCACTGCATGTAAAATGAACTTTAAAAAAGTTTTTCATAAAAATGTTATTTTTTAAAACGTGATTTAATTGTCAATGTTCATCATCACTTTAGATGAACTAGTATTCTAATATGCTTCAACTTCTAATGATGGAAATTGGAATAGACAGAAATAAGAGTAGGCAAAAGCCTTTTAGGGTATTCAATAAATTTTAAGAACGTAAAAGCAAAAAATAAATAAATAAATAAAACTGGAGAACTGGTGCACCACACCATGCTTAGCTGACACAGTCACTATTCTAAATTTCCCAAGCACGATGAAGTAAATTTTCATTCAACTTGCAGGTACATCTTACCATTTAAAATCTATAAATCATGCCGTATACTCCTAAGCACAATACTCCCAACGTACAACTTTGCTTTATTCAACTTATTTGAATAGACTATTAAAAAGCCACTGATGGCTTTGAGCGTGCAAAACCCATCCTGAGTGTAGAAAGGTTCCGAGACCTGCCGCTTCCCCAGCCGGCTTTGCAGGTTGCTCTGTAGCTGCAAACACCTCGGAAACGGGAGAGGAATTATGAAAAGACTCCACACTAGGTAACCTCTACGGAGGGGGAGTGGGGTTAAGTCTCCCAGGGCCGCTTTTCCTTAATCTGCAGTAAATCCACCCAGGCAGAAGAACCGCTACGCCCTGTGTAAACTGCCCGTGCAGACTTCACGACCTAACGCCTCCAAGCAGACGCACCAACCCTGACGCTCAGCGTCGCTTCCGCAGAGCGCGCCGCAGAGTTAGCGCGAAGATGCCACTCCGGACTTCGGGACGTGTGACGTCAGCACGTAGCCTCGGCAGCGCCGTGGGCACGCCCCGGCCGCCACTGGGAACCGATTGGTGCGCCAGGAGCAGAAACGAGAGCGCGATTGGCCAGCGGTCAGTGGGCGAGTCCCGGCCGCTCCCGCCCTCCGGCGGCTCGTCAGTCGCGGGGCTTCAATTCTGCGGGACAGGGAGGCAAGCTGGTCTCCTTTAGCCTCGGACTGGGCGTGGCGAGGACCCAGGCTGGCGGCCCAAAGGCCCCGTCGCCCGTAAAGGGCCCTGGTGCACCTGCAGAAGCCCGGGTCCTCGCAGGTGGTGCCACTGTCTGGCGCGACCGTGACGTCAGCCGAGCGCAGGCGGCGATTGGTTAGCAGTATGTGGCGTGGACAGGCGCTGGCGTGGGCCATTGGGCACGCTACCAGGGGGCGGGACTTGGGGGCGGTGCGCGCCGCGCACGGCGCTCAAATGGGGCGCGCGCCCAAGACCTCCCGGGTCCCGAGTTTGAGGTTGGAGAACGCACCCCTCGGGGCGGCGCGGGAGCTACAAGGTGGCGCGAGGGGGCTGAGCGCCAGGTGAGACTGCTGGGCGAGGGAGCTCGGGGCTGAGAGAGATGGTGGGGCAGGCGCACGGAGCCCACTGGGGCCAGCACCCTCGCCTCTGCCCTTGGCGTCTGACGCGGGCGGCAGGTGCAGCCCACCGACCAGCTCTGAGGGGTGGGCGCTAAGACCTGGGGAGCGGTGGGCGGTGTCGGACCCCCTAGTGGGCGCCGCGAGGACCTGCTGTCGAGGAGCCGGAGGATTTGCCGGCTAAGGACGAGGATTGGTAGTTGTAGGGAAGTTGAGCCTTTAGGAAGGGAACTGATGAGAAAGTCTGGTTTTCACTGCAGCGTGGGAGTGGGTCCCTTGTTTCTCGCCGAGGATGCATGTAGGTCAGCTCCCAGCTTCGTTGAGAAGACTTGGTAGGTTCTGTGATTGATAAAAATTCACGTGCCGCTTCAAAAGGTTGGTGTGCGAGAACTTGGAAACCAGTCCTTTGTAACTTTTTAGCCATTTTAGACTTTGAAATTCTTTTTCAGTCGTATTAAGCAGTGAAAAGGAAAGACCATCATCTGTACATAAAAATAGCTGGCCTTTAGTAAAATGTTGAATCTGAAATCAAGTAAGTCTCAGAAGACAATTTTTATAGAAGCCTAGAAACAAGCATAGACACTATAGGCAAGCCTGTGTGATCGAATCTGCCTGGAGTGTACAGGTAATATGTAATGTAGATGCACACACACGCTTAGCTACATGCATGGGATTGGTTGCAAAATTCTAAAGACTACTCCTAAGTGGGGAGCGTCACAGAGATGGAACAGTCTTTTTCTGGGGGGGGAGGGGGGTGATGTGTTCCTGCATCTTCTCCATCATTGTTATCTTTAGATGAATAAGTAAAAGTAATCATTTTGTCTTGTAATTAGGAATTTCAGACTTAAGGTATAAATCCTAAAAGAGCAGTGCAACTTAGAATATTGTTACTTCCCCACGCCTGTTGATTCTGTTAGGACGAAAGTTTTAAGTACACCTTTTGTAAAATGAGGCTCACTTTGAAGTCTTTTCCTTTCCGCGATTTTTTTCCTCTTTATCTCTTTTTATTCATTAAGCTTGTTTTTGGTTTGAAAATATTTTCGTTCTCGCAGTCTGCACAAAGGCACAGGCCACTCAAGATCCTATTTAGGTTTAGAACTTTGTTTTTTGTTGTTGTTGTTGTTTTTGACAGGCAGAGTTAGAGAGAGAGAGAAAGGTCTTCCTTTTTCTGTTGGTTCACCCCCAAAATGGCCACTGCGGCCTGCCCGCTGATCCGAAGCCAGGAGCCAGGTGCTTCTCCTGGTCTCCCATGTGGACCTGGGCCATCCTCCACTGTACTCCCGGGCCACAGCAGAGAGCTGGCTTGGAAGAGGGGCAACCGGGACAGAACCGGCGCCCTGACCGGGACTAGAACCTGGTGTGCCAGTGTCGCAAGGCAGAGCATTAGCCTAGTGAGCCACGGCGCCAGCCTAAACTTTGTTTTAAGGAGCCATTTCTTTACTTTTGTGCTTAAACACTTTGTACATATCCTGTAGTGTATTTGAACCTTATTGGAAGTGTTTCAGTAATTGCATATGTCAACGAAAATCACAAAGTAGAACACAGAATCTTCTAAATATCATTTGGAAAAATGGGTTTAAGAAATACCCGTTGTGTGGAAGGTGCTCTGAAGAATGTAAAGGTTAAAGAGCTTAGCAGTTGCTCACTAGAGATGCTCAGAGAGGGTAAGTGAGAAGAGTTTGGATCGCAGGAGAGACGGTTATTAGGGTTCAGAAAATTAAGCCCCAGTGCCTACACCCAGGGAAGGTGGACTATGGCCGAATGGGCCAGAGCTGGCCTACTGTTTTTGTGGTGTGTTGTGAGCGAATAATTTTTTTAAAAGATTTATTTATTTATTTGAAAGATAGAGTTACACAGAGAGAGGAGAGGCAGAGAGAGAGAGAGGTGTTCCATCCGCTGGTTCACTCCCCAGTTGGCTGCAACAGCTGGAGCTATGCCGAGCCGAAGCCAGGAGCCTCTACCGGGTCACCCACGCGGGTGCAGGGGCCCAAGGACTTGGGCCATCTTCCACTGGTTTCCCAGCCCATAGCAGAGAGCTGGATCAGAAGAGGAGCAGCCGGGACGAGAACCGGCACCCATGTGGGATGCCGGCGCTTCAGACCAGGGCATTAACCTGCTGAACCACAGTGCCGGCCCCCAATGAGCAAATAAGATTTTAAAATTTCTTTTGTGTTCCATCTTCATTTCTTCTTTTTTAATTTGAAGAGATAGCTTTCATCCATGGTTTACTCTCTAAATGCCCAACACACTGGGGTTGGGCCAGGCCAAACCCAGGAGCCCAGAACTATGTTTGGGTCTCCTCTGTGGGTGGCAGGGAGCCATCATCCACTGCTTCCCAGGATGCACAAGCAGGGACACAAGACCCAAGCCAGGCACTCAGTATGGAATGTGTAAGTCCAAAGTGGTGACTTCATCACTGTGCCAAAGGCCCACCCCAGATGTTTGCATTTTTAAATGGTTGGGGGTGGGGGAGATGAAAGGGAAATATGCTGTGACAAATGAAAATTAAGTGCAATTCACATTTCTGTGCCCATAAATAAACATTTATTAGAACACAACCATGGTTAGTTTACCCATTGCCTATGGTTACTTCATTGCTACAAGAGCAAAATTGTTACTCTCTGGCCCTTTAAAGGAAAAAAGTTGCAGAGCACTGTTCTAAGGTATCATTAAATATAATGAATTAAGCTTTCTCTTATGAACTGTGTATGGTATTTGAGACAGTTGACAAAGCAGTTACTTAAATCATTTTTCTCATTAAACATCCAGGTTGAGAAAGACTGGATTAAATCTTACTAGGACATTGGTTAAAGGGTTTTTTCAATGGTTGGCATGTGATTTGGACTTTGAAAAATGGATTTCCGTAAAGGCTGGCCTGTGGCATTCTTGAGCAACTATGAAGAAGCAGAGAATGACGGACTATTTGGGATGGCTGTGGAACCACATAGTAAAGAATACAGAAGCTGTTGTGGAAAAACAGGGTGAAGAATTAAGCAAGGGCCAGATCACAGGTGGACAGACTTCTAAGCAAGAAAAGTACACAAAGGAGAAAGGCCAAGTTTCAGAGGCCAAGAATTTAGAACCTTGAATTTGGTCGTTGAGAGTGACCGTGGTAAAAGACCAGCTGTGACTGACTGCCCAAAGGAGAAATGGCCACGAGTGGGACTGCGTGTTGGGTCAGCAGCATTCCTGGAGGAACTCCGTGGGAATGAGGAGTGGTGAGACTGCAGATAGGAGCAGCGGGTGTAATTCATAGCCTTTGAAATAGCTGAAGCGTTCACTGGACGCGGCTGTAGAATCACTTTTCCACTGTTCAGAAAAATACAATACCTCTCCTCTTTCCTTTTAGTGTTAGTACTCTTGGCCAGAGCAGACATTTTGTAACGATGCCGGAAATACGTACTGACCATCTCGATGAGCAACAGGTTCAACTTCTGGCAGAGATGTGTATTCTTATTGATGAAAATGACAATAAAATTGGGGCTGATACCAAGAAGAACTGTCACCTGAATGAAAACATTGAGAAAGGTATTGTCTTAAAGGACTCTTTTTTTATAAAGTGATTTGCCTAGGCACTTGAGATTAGCTGAGATAATTGGTAAAAGAGATGTAATTTCTAAACGTTGTATTTTAATCTCTGGGTATAGTTAGGTAAATAGAGTAGTAAAATCTAACTCGCTACCTGTGTAATATCTGTTTCTTTCTACTTCTTCAGAATTATTTTGGTTTTGTGAAAGGAGAACAGATTAATCCTAACATAACAGCGGTTGTCAAGCCTATTTTTTTTTTCCTCATGAGTGGGGAAAGAGCAGGTAGCACAAGGAAATGTGGCTTTGCAACTCTCCCAAGGAGCAGAGGACTGACTTCGTCTGGGGCTGGATATTCTTGGAAGGGGATTTGGCCTGTAGCAAAGTGGCTAGCAAGATGACCATTTCCAACACCTGGCAACCTTCCTCTGCTATACCAGAGCTCTTCTCCACCATAGTCATGCAAAGACTATCCAGATAGAAGACTAGGAAAAAAGCAAAACTAACAGTTACTAGTGTTACTTTGAACCACCAGAGAATTGGGCAAATACCTGGCATTTTGTGACTAACTTAATCGTATTTATCATGCTTTCAGGGTTGTTGCACCGAGCTTTTAGTGTCTTCTTATTCAATACTGAAAATAAGCTCCTGCTACAGCAGAGATCAGATGCTAAAATTACCTTTCCAGGTTAGTATCCTTAATGTGCAATGTAGATTTTGTGGAGACTATATTGAATTTGAGTTGTTATTACTCTGAATTTTCTGGAACAAAGATCAAAAAGGGAAATCCTTTAAGTGATGCAATTTGATAGTCTACCAAAAATAAGCCTTTACAGTGAGTGCAACCAGATAAAGCAACAATAAAGAATAAGAACTCTTAAGGAATAGATGTGTGTATGTATGTATGTGTGTATGTATGTGTTATACATTTTTTTTATCAGGATCTCTACACATTTTGATCTTTTTGGTTAAGGAGACATTAATAAAGAACTTATTTTCAATTATCTATTTAGTAATTATTGACGTAAAAATCCTAAAATATTTTATTTTTCTGCTACTTACACAGTTTTTTCTTGATCTTTAAGACCTACTTTGAAGAAAAGTTAATCTCTGCTGTCATTTTCCAGGTTGTTTTACCAATACTTGTTGTAGTCATCCGTTAAGTAACCCACATGAACTTGAAGAAAATGATGCCATTGGAGTAAGAAGGGCGGCACAGAGGCGTTTAAAAGCTGAACTAGGAATTCCTATGGAAGAGGTAACAGTTTTATCGCACTTTGAACAAGCTGAAATCTAAACATACATTAAACTATTTTTCAATAAAATTTTTGAATTCAAGTGTAGGTCTTCTGCTTTCAACTTCTTGTTACTAGTTAGCCCCAGAAGGCAACTACATAAAGAAGTTTTGTTTTAATTTTTATTGGAGAGACATAGACAGAGACATAGACATCTGCTATGTCACTTCCCAAATGCCTACAACAACCAGGGTTGAGCCAGGTTAAAGCCAGGAGTCAGGAACTCAACCCATGTCTCCCATTTAAGGGTGGCATGAGCCCGATTACTTGAGCTATCACCACTGCTTCCCAGTCTTCATTAGCAGAAACAGGTTACAGACATTGAACCCAGGCATTCCAGTATGGAATGCAGGCATCTTAACCACTAAGCCAAACGCCTACTCAGGTTATTTGAATGTTGATTTCTTAAAATCAGTTGTCAGAATTTAGCTCAATATTGCAGTGGGTTGATCTTTTTACCAATATGTAAGGTTAACTGTCTTTATAGTTGATTAAAGATGGGTATTTTCTTGTGGAGATCATTACCAGCAAATTTGAGTGAATTGGAACAATCTTTTTTTTTTTTCCTGAGATTAGACCCTTTAAATGACACCTAAAATATCTAGTTAACTGTTAATTTTTCTCCTACAAAAAGTAATCAAATTATGAGTAAGGAGAATGTTACATTTCTAACTTGAGTGACTAACTTTTTTTTTAATATTTTGAAAAATAACATGTTTTGTTCCATGGAACAAAATTTAAATACTTGAAATTAATAATATAGTACATTTTCCATATATCACTAATAGGAGAATAATACTTTAAACATTCTAATTCTAAAACTATGCTGCCATTGCTAAAGACATTGTTGAAATGTGAGTTAATTTTAGGTTACTTTTTATGGTTTTTTTTTAATAGTTTTTTTTTTTTTAATGTCCTAGGTTCCTCCAGAAGAAATAAATTATCTAACACGAATTCACTACAAAGCTCAATCTGATGGTATTTGGGGTGAACATGAGATTGATTACATTTTATTTGTGAGGAAGAATGTAACTTTGAACCCAGATCCCAATGAGATTAAAAGCTATTGTTATGTGACAAAAGAAGAACTGGAAGAACTTCTGAAAAAAGCAGCCAGTGGTGAAATTAAGATAACTCCATGGTTTCAAATTATTGCAGAGACTTTTCTCTTTAAATGGTGGGATAACTTAAGTAATTTGAATCAGTTTGTTGACCATGAGAAAATACATAGAATGTGAATGTACAGATGAATGACTATTGAATATTTTCTCTATGTAGTAAACTTAGAATGTTTCTGTTTGTTTTAAATTTGGGGTTCCCCACTAGATCTCATAAGATACATTGCTGTTTTTGGCAACCAGAATTTCTGTGAGAAAAACAGCTGACTTATAATTTTGCATTACATACTGCATACTCACTTATAAAAGACATTTATGAGATTAGTGTAAAATGAGAGAGCAGATGAGACCTAATCTGTTCACATGTGGCCATGAGAAATTGGAACAAGTAAATGAAGCTGGTTTTTGACCTGTTGTAATTCACATTTTCAGAATACTTCGCTATTTGTCAGATGCTTTATGTATTATTGTTTTTATGATAGTCCAGGAAAATACCCAATTAACTTTCCATATTAACAGATTAAACTGGCAAAGCAGGTTACAGGGAAATTAAAATAGTGTATAATCATGCCTGCATAAAAAAATTCCAGGGGCAAGCACTGTGTTGCAGCAGGTTAAGCTACCACTTGGGATGCCCACATCCCATATCAGGTTGCCTGGTTCAAGTCCCAGCTACTCCATGCTTCTGATAGAACCTCTATGTACCATAGAGGCAACAGATGGTGGCTGAAGTACTTGGGTTCCTGCCACCCATGCAGAAGATGCAGGGGGAGTTCCTAGATCCCAGCTTCAGCTTGGCCCAGCCCAAGCTATTGCAGGCATTTGGGGAGTGAACCAGTGGATGGACGATCTCTGTTTCTGTTATTCGGTCTTTCAAATAAATAAATTTTTAAAAAATAAATAAATGCATTTCCCTGTTGTTTGTATATATTATGCACATCCTCCCATATTTCTTTCTTTTTTTTTTTTTTTTTTTTTTGACAAGCAGAGTGGACAGAGACAGAGAGAAAGGTCCTCCTTTGCCATTGGTTCACCCTCCAGTGGCCGCTGTGGCAGGCACACCGCGCTGATCCGATGGCAGGAGCCAGGTGCTTCTCCTGGTCTCCCATGGGGTGCAGGGCCCAAGCACTTGGGTCATCCTCCACTGCACTCCCGGGCCACAGCAGAGAGCTGGCCTGGAAGAGGGGCAACCGGGACTAGAACCCGGTGTGCCGACGCCACTAGGCGGAGGATTAGCCTAGTGAGCCGCGGCGCTGGCCCATATTTCTTTAACTCATCTCCAGATTATTTAAGCCTAAAATGTAAATGCTATGCAAACAGTTGTTATTGTTTAACAAGCAAAAAATGTACATGGATCAGTACAGATGAAGTTGTTTCTGAACATTTTGATGCAGTTAATTAAATCCAGATGCAGGACCTGCAGATAAGCAGGTCTGAGTGTGTACCCTAATTTCTATCATTCTAAGTTGATTTTGTAGTTCAATCACTCTGCAAGTATTTTGATAATACCAAATATTGTTTTTGGTAATAGCAATGGTTAGAGTGACATCTTTTAAATAGTATTTGCCAATTAGTGAAGTCTGAGTTTTCAGAATAATAATGGACAGAAAAGCTACTCATAAAATGGGGACTGAGTCCCACTCTATCCACAGCAGTTTCTTAACCTTGACACTGTCGATGGGTGGGTTGGATGATTTGCTGTGACAGTCTATTCAGTTCATTGCAGGATGTTAGGCAGCATCTCTGGGCTCTACACACTAAATGCCATTAGTGTCCCCTCTCATGACAGCCAAAGTTGTCAGGCCATATTTTAGGGGGTAGGGAATAACAGAAAGCCTAGCTAGTGTTTATGTTCATTAGATTTGGGTTATGGAATTAGTATATATTTAAAATTGTAGCTTAAACAGATAAAGGGTTGATAACCAGAATCAACAAAGAAATTAAGACACGGCACAACATCAAAACAACCCACTTAAGAGATGGGCCGAGGACCTCAATAGACTTTTTTTTTTTTTTTTTTTTTTTTTTGACAGGCAGAGTGGACAGTGAGAGAGAGAGACAGAGAGAAAGGTCTTCCTTTGCCGTTGGTTCACCCTCCAATGGCTGGCGCGCTGCGGCCGGCGCACCGCACTGATCCGATGGCAGGAGCCAGGAGCCAGGTGCTTTTCCTGGTCTCCCATGGGGTGCAGGGCCCAAGCACCTGGGCCATCCTCCACTGCACTCCCTGGCCACACCAGAGAGCTGGCCTGGAAGAGGGGCAACCGGGACAGAATCCGGCGCCCCCACCGGGACTAGAACCCGGTGTGCCGGCACCGCTAGGCGGAGGATTAGCCTAGTGAGCCGCGGCGCCGGCCCTCAATAGACATTTTTCAAAAGAGGAAATCCAAATGGCCAACAGACACATTAAAAGATGTTCAAGATCACTAGCAATCAGGGAAATGCAAATCAAAACCACAGTGAGGTTTCACCTCACCCCGGTTAGAATGGCTCACATACAGAAATCTACCAACAATAGATGCTGGAGAGGATGTGGGGGAAAAGGGACACTAACCCACTCTTGGTAGGAATGCAAACTGGTTAAGCCACTTTGGAAGTCAGTCTGGAGATTCCTCAGAAACCTGAATACATAACAACCCAGCCATCCCACTCCTTGGAATTTACCCAAAGGAAATTGGCAAACAAAAAAGCTGTCTGCACCTTAATGTTTATTGCAGCTCAATTCACAATAGCTAAGACCTGGAACCAACCCAAATGCCCATCAACAGTAGACTGGATAAAGAAATTATGGGACATGTACTCTATAGAATACTATACAGCAGTCAAAAACAATGAAATCCGGTCATTTGCAACAAAATGGAGGAATCTGGAAAACATTATGCTGAGTGAACTAAGCCAGTCCCAAAGGGACAAATATCTTATGTTCTCCCTGATCTGTGACAACTAAGCACCAAAGGGGAAACCTGCTGAAGTGAAATGGACTCTATGAGAAACTGACTTGATCAGCCCTTGTCCTGACTGTTGATGTACAAAGTAATACTTTATCCCTTTTAGTATTTTTTTGTTGTTGTTCTAGTACTATTGGTTGAACTCTAATTAACACACAGTTATTCTTAGGTATTTAATTTTAACTGGAAAGTGATCCCTGTTAAATATGAGTGGGAATAAGGGAGGAGATGTACAATTTGGGACATGCTCAATTGGACTTGCCCCAAATGGTGGAGTTAGAAACGTGCCAGGGGATTCCAATACAATCCCATCAAGGTGGCATGTACCAGTGCCATCTCACTAGTCCAAGTGATCAATTTCAGTTCACAATGGATCACACTGATAGGTCTAAGAGTCAAAGGGATCACACAAACAAGACTAGTGTCTGCTAATACTAGCTGATAGAATAAAAAAGGGAGAGAACGATCCAACATGGGAAGCAGGATACACAGCAGACTCATAGAATGGCAGATGTCCTAAACAGCACTCTGGCCTCAGAATCAGTCCTTAAGGCATTTGGATCTGGCTGAAGAGCCCATGAGAGTATTTTAGGCATGGAAAGCCAAGACACTCTGGCAAAAAAAAAAAAAAAAAAAAAAAAAAAAACCAAAAAAAACACAACCAAACTAAATGAAAGATCTGCAAGTGAGATCCCAGTGGAAAGAACGGGGCCATCAAAGAAGGAGGTACCTTTCTCTGAAGGGAGGAGAGAACTTCCTCTTTGACTATGACCCTGTCTGAATAAGATCGAAGTCGGCGAACTCAAAAGGCTTCCATAGCCTTGGCAACTCATGACTCACCACGCCTAGGGAGATTACTGACGCCATAAACAGGAGTGTCGAATTGTTAAGTCAACAACAGGAGTCACTGTGTACTTACTCCTCATGTGGGATCTGTCCTTAATGTGTTGTCCAATGTGAAGTAATGCTATAACTAGTACTGAAACAGTATTTTACACTTTGAGTTTCTGTGTGGGTGCAAACTGTTGAAGTCTTTACTTAATATATACTAAATCGATCTTCTGTATATAAAGATACTTGAAAATGAAACTTGGTGTGAATGAAATGGGAGAGGGAGTGGGAGATGGGAGGTGTGTGAGTGGGAGGGAAGTTATGGGGGGGAGCTATTGTAATCCATAAACTGTACTTTGGAAATTTATATTTACTAAATAAAAGGTAAAAAAGATGAAAAAACATAAAATTGTAGCTTAAACAATGCACTTTTCAAAACTTGCAATAGATTCCTCAAACTTGTAATCCTAAGACAGTTTTATTCTTAAATGCTATAGGTAGTGAATAATGAAGAAAAAATAAAACCTTATTTCTTAACAAAGCTAGAAGTTGTATAAATTCAACAGACTAATTCATTTCTTGGTAGCCCTAAACAGTTAATTTCAGGCAAGACTATATGGCAAGTATTTATTTTATCAAAAATTAAAAATAAAAATGACCACATTTTAATACTGTTGTCTAATTTGTTAGGATTTTAATACAATAATAGGTTAGTCTGACTGCAGTAGTTTAAACATGATACATGTCATATAAATGCATTTATAGGATTATTTTGGATCCTTTAGTTTTTTTCTAGGAAGTTTTAGGCTGAACACCCCACATGATTGGTTACACAATAGTTGTTCTATGCTTAGTGACTCCTGAATTGGACAATGGAAACTATTACCTGGCACTTTTTGAGTACTTAACAAGTATTAAATATACTGTTACGTTACTAGAATGCCATTCTAGATCATGTTAAGTATGAATGTTCATTGACCTGGTAAATTCCATAGAACTCCTTTATCTTTTATAAGATTAGTATCAGGGCCGGCGTTGTGGCCCAGCAGGTAAAGCCACTGCCTGCAGTGCTGGGCATCCCATATGGGTGCTGGTTCGAGTCCCAGCTGCTGTATTTCCAATCCAGCTCTCTTACGTGGCCTGGGAAAGCAGTAGAAGATGGTCCAAATCCTTGGACCCCTGCACCTGTGTGGGAGACCCTGAAGAAGCTCCTGGCTCCTGGCTTCGGATCGGCACAGCTCTGGCCGTTGCAGCTGGTTGGGGAGTGAACTAGCAGATGGAAGACCTCTCTCTCTACCTCTCCTCTCATTGTGTAACTCTTTCAAATTAAATAAATCTTATAAATAAATAATAAATAAATGATTAATATCCCTCTCCTAATCCCAGCCCTAAAAGCAGCTTAGAGATGCAAATTTTCTTTTTTCTTCTTTGTTTATTTGAGAGGTAGAGTTACAGATGGTGAAAGGCAGAGACAGAGAGAAAGGTCTTCCTTCCATTGGTTCACTCCCCAAATGGCCACAACGGCTGGAGCTGCACCAATCCGAAGCCAGGAACCAGGAGCTTCTTCCCAGTCTTCCATGCAGATGCAGGAGCCCAAGGACTTGAGTCATCTTCCACTGCCTTCCCAGGCCACAGCAGAGAGCTGGATTGGAAGTGGAGCAGCCAGGACTAGAACCGGCCAGCACCCATATGGGATGCCGGCGCTGTAGGCAGAGGATTAACCTGCACCATGGCGCCAGCCCCACAAATTTTCACCTTTAATTATTTTCTTCCTTAAACTGTTTAAAATTGTTAGTCCCCGAAATATACAGCAGCTTGAATCCAGACAAACTATAGACCACTCCATTAAGGACAAAGCAGATAGTCCTCTCTAAAATTTTTGGCATTATCAAAATACTTCCAAAATAATTAAATTACAAAATGAATTTACAATGATAGAAACTAGGGTATACACTCAGATGTCCATATCTGCAGATATCTCTGCAGATACAGAGAAATCTGTAGTATACAGAGAACAAGAGCAAAAAGGAAGATGTAGGAGGGAGGATAGGAAATGATACTCTTACCTGGCCTGGCACTGGGGAACGGGCACAGATGATAGAGATAATAGGACAAGTCTGTGTGGTTCTGTGAAGCTCAGAGG